ATGAACTAAACAAATATGTTTAGTTGTACATTGCAATTATCTACTTCAATTCACTAATGGTGGATAATTGTGAACAATACAAATGTTTGAGATTTCTTTAACATTCCGTGTTGTAAACATAAGACGGGTCCTTTGAACAAGAACAAAACATTTACATAAGTGACATAAATAACCCTAGCACACAGCTGATTAAAACAATTCTAATTTGTCTCCTATGTTACCCAAAACATCAAAAAGAAACGTAAACAATCAATAATCAATACTACACAGGTAATATAGTATGATTTTAGCGACCTGTCAATTATTAATATATAATCGCAATCATTTAAATATTCGATTTGATTTCGGTTCTGTCCGTGTAGCTTACTAGAATTAATATGGAGTATATGACAAATGTTTTCGATAGTCAGGCCAGTTGAATTTATAGTTCGTCGTCACATCTGCAATAGCATAATCCCAACATTTGATAGGTCTGAGGTTCGATCGCTACTGTTGCCACTGTTTTATGAAATACTCTTTCCTTTTTGCAGTATATTTTAATGGAAATTGCCGAGTGCTTTCAAAATTTCAACTGAGCAATGAAGCAACTTAGTAACATTGTTTTGTTTCGATTCTTACTATGTTATACGGCATTAAAATTACATATTTTTACCTTAATCCAAATGAAGTTTTAATTTTAATTTTTTAACCTTGTTATTTAAAAAGAGTATAAACTGTGCCAAAATAAGCGCTAAACATTTTAACAAATAAATATGAAAAAATCTTGAACCTACGCGGTTTCGATCTTAAAAAACGTAGTACATTTTAAAAATGTAAACCGGTAGTTTACCCTATTATGCTTTAATACACAGTGTAGTTATTCCATAGACAAAAATTGAATTTGCGTACATCTCACGGAATTTACCGAAATTCTATCGAAGATCAATATATTGTGTACACATTTGCCGTATAATCAGTATGCAATTGACAGGTGAATAAAATCCAACAATAAAACGTTGTGAGTATTTTAAAGATTTTTTGTAACTCAATGCAAAGTCCGTTAAGATTAAAGAAGTGTTGTGAATGAAGAGAATAATTTAGTGTTCCAAGACCCACCGGACAGCACGCGCATGCGTAATGGTTTTGCAGGACTGAGAGTTCCCAGATAGTAGTACGCTAAAACCAGTTCTGCGAAGGCTGCCGACGAGACAACATCTTGTTTAGGTAAGCGGCATGCCTGTTTCCCTTCATATAGCTGAACTAAGGTAAAATACAACAGAAGTATAAACAAAAAACCGATAATATATTTTACAAGTTATGTGTATGAATCAAATAATAATGAATCACATTTCACCTATAAATTTTACCGTATTCTAGTTTTCTAACGACGAAATATAAAGTCTCTAGGTTGTCTTGTTGCATTGATTGATTCTTAATTGATCAATTGATATTTACATTATACACATAATAAACTTATTAAAGTACAAAACAAACTAATTCACACCCAGAAGCAATGCCACACATATGAGTATAAATGGGTAATTACAATTACTTATCATCTTTAAAAAAAACACAAACAGACGCTTTTATTATAAAATTGCTCCTTAATAATATTGGATAACAGACAGTTAAAAAGATTTATGTCATAATTCTTAACTGGAAAGTCGAATCCATTATTATTATTATTATTATTATCATTATTAGCGAGCTCGAAGAGCTTGCTGGCAAAGCATGCTTTACGGTAACGCGAGTACCTGCTTGATAGTAATGGTTTTGAAAACTTACGTCTGAAGTACTGAACTGAAACATCGCAATTTTTCGAATTGCAAGATAACGACAAAAGCCAAAAATTCTGATTGAAAACGGAAGCTTAGACTGGTGTTTTTCGCACTTATATGGGAACCATAATAGGACAAAGACCAAAATAAACGAAAGATGAGAAAAATATGCAGCCTGACAGGGAATCAAGCCTGGGATCCTTGGAATACCGTTCTGCGGCTCTACTGACTTAGCTATCAGACCGCTTACACATCTCCTCCCCTAAATAGTGAACAGTTCTGAACCGTAGCATACTCCCCCACTCTACTAAAATTCGTCCTCAAACTTCTCAGGGTTACAGAGCAATGTAAGCTTTTTTCAGTCATGACCCAACGTTGGGCGCAAAATGTCACAGGGTGAGAAAAATGTGCAGCCTGATCGGGACTCAAACCCGGCACCCTCGGCATACCGTTCTGCGTTTCTACCGACTGAACTTTCCGGCCGCGTACACATCTTCTCCTTTAAATAGTCAACAGTTCTGAACTATGACAACTTTTATTATTATAAAACAATTCTAATTGTCAAAAATGAAAGTAGAAATGAAAACTAATTTTCGACTTGTTTTCAGTGTGGAATCTTATTGTCTTCTCTAAAACTTTATCTCTCAGACACAACTATTTGTCGCAAAAAATACAAACAGCTACTTAATATACTATGCACAGTGACACATGTGTTTTAAAGAACCAACGGGGAGCAGCAAAATGTTAATTAGTTAAAAGGTCACTTCTCTTTCTATAAGTAAAAGTAACCTTCATTCATACCACCACCGACACCTTTAATTTAACTATTTGAAAATTAGATTCTCTGAGATCAAATTTGACTGTATGGTTTTCATCTGTGTACCAATAATAATTACCATAGTTGCCTTCCTTAGAATGTATAATCATCTTCCAACCATTTGTTTGTAAGAAAAAAGGGAGATAACTACGACAAAATGTCTTCTGCAGCTAATTTGATTAAGATTCCTATCAGAGGTATCAAACAAAAAAACTCAAAGTACATAGCGATAGTACTTTGATATTTTCAAGTTAATATTTCTACTGGTTACTCAGATACTCGTGAAAGCTTTATCCACTATAATAAAAAAGGAAAATGGAGATATAAAGTTTTCTGAAGACATTTTGAATGAAATTAAAATAATTACTTCAAACTACCTATCGGTGTAATACTATTTAACTCACACAGTTGCGTTGTAATATTTGATTGATATATCACGTGTAACTTAATATCACTTATGTTTCCTGAGATCGAAAGGGGCATATAGTTATTAAGTCTAGTTAACTTCAACGAGGTTAGTATGGAGACACAATTCATAAATAACTGAGTTGTCGCGACCGTTGTACATTTCTGCGATATTTGTTATGATATTTAGTCCCATAATTATGCAAAACTTTAATCGTGAGGGTTTTGAACCTTGACAAACACAAACACACACACACACAATAATGTATATAAAGTAAGTTCACTAATCCTTATTCTTTTTCCGAATATGGAATAAGTAAGTAGTTCGAATAAGGAATAGGCAACTTTAAAAAAAGGAATAAGGAACTGGTTCGTTACTCCTTAATTTAAAACGGATTAAGGAATTAGAAACTAACTTAATACACATCACACACTAGTGTGTTGAAGTTTTGCATTTACAGGCCATGTTTGTCAATGTATTTATTATTTCCATTTCTCTCTAAATTTTCTCACTAAAATTTGTTTATGAGAGTTTTGAGAATACTGTCGATTCATATTTCTTTTTATTTTTGGACTTTGGACAAGACTTATAAAGAAGCTAAATTGTTTGTACTTGGGGAAAAAATTCAACCAAAGAGGTTTTCTTTACAATAAATACATCAAATTCAATCTGTTTCTTGAAACCTGTAAACATTTCAATATATAAAATCATTCCAGGTCAAAGTAGTATAATATGAGCTGTGAAATCGAATTTTTCTTACCACTGGGAATCTCCACCGATTGTGTGAAGACCGAAAATACCATACCGGTCCGATACCGTGTTATCTCTTTCTTAAGAAAAACACTATGTTGAATAACGTTAACACAGTAGTATGCAACTGTCGGATTGATTCAATATTGTATAGCTTTGTCCTGTTACACACTATATTGATCGAAATAAAATGACATTTGTATTTCAAGATACCGATGGCTTAAACCAGTCTTAAGCATGTATACTGATAACAAGACAGACAAGTGCACCGTTTATAAAAAAAAAACGTGACCATTCAAAGTCGTAGAATATGATAATTTTGGAACTTGTCTTGTTAACAGAAGTCAAGTGTTTCTTTCTGTCCCCAAATGCAATTAAAACAATAAATGATACACAGAATTTTGTACTGAAGTCAATTTACTTTAAACTTATATGTATATTTAACTACATTTATTAGAAATAATATTTACATTTCGCACGTCTTTCCCCAGATGATAGCATCTAACATGCTCTAATATCTTTATTTAAATGTTATTGAACTCATGTTTTCCCTTTCTTAAGATATAAAGTGTAAGGTTTCTAGGACATAATGTGCCTTATAGGAAACTTGATGAATCTTATTAACAATTTAAAGTTATTCAATTGTTTATAACACTGAAAGTTTGACGGATATGAAATCCTCTGACGTATAAAGGGAGACATATTAATGATCATAATATTAAATAAACTTATGCATTCAACTCACGTTAAAGTGTCTATGTTAAAGTGATATCTTGAATTTCTGTTTACATTCTATATATTTTTGGTTTGAAGCGTAAACATATCTATATAAAAATTATGTTGTGCGAATCACCGAATGAGTACAAAACAAGTCATGTGACTTTAACAAACCCTGGAAACTACAATGACAGATATTGTTGATAGTGTCTGATTAAAACAAGTCATTTTTACGTTTTTTAACGTTTCAGGAGTTCACTGTGACAACAGTTGTGAAGTCTTAATGCTCTAACCTGATCCAAGTTGGACATGTTCGGAAACAACCATGTTAAAATTAAGAAAATTGAATGTTTATTTACATATTTTTATTAGAAATCAATGATAAATATTAAAAAAACATCGATATGATGATATTTTATGCTTACATGCACTTATAAGTTTAATGGATGTAAACCACTTATTTTTAAACCATTCAACAAATGTACGTCGGAATAAGATGCGATTCTTTTTTTAGTTTTAAACGGAATAGACCTTTCCGGTTTTTCGTAGCGGAACAATTTGCCAAACGTTTTCCATTCATTGCTAGATCAACTGCTCACAAACAGTATCACAAACGTGACCACGTGTTCTTTTGTGCAAACCAGGTCAATAAGTGACTTTATATTATCTCAGTGTAGCAATTGGATAACAAGTAAGCCATTTTACATAAAATGTAAATACTGGAAAGGTGAATAAACTTTTCTTTAATAAAATGAAATAATATTTCAATTTTTGTTTAAATTCTGCTATAATTATGCCAGTTAAACAATATGAATCGTCGTCTCTAGTTTTTTTCTGATAAAAGTTTATATAAATATAATAGAGACTGAGCCGGTTCATACTTTTTCAGTATCTTAAAACTTTTGAAACATTTTCAACTGAATATGTCAGGCTTTAACATTTATTTTAAAAAATGTTTGCAATTGACTTCTCGCAGTTTTATTCGTTTTACATGGATACAGTTCTGAATCAATATTGTAAGCGACGTCAATGAATTCAATATTTTGATATTTTTCCATATTTCCTAGTTTCGAAGCTGTTGGTAATGTAGGTAAGGAACTTTCTAAACCACAATGAAGAAGGAGGACAACGAAAGGTTTTTTCCCTGAAATAAATCAGTTAGATATATTAACGTTTGTTTAAGTGAAAAATAAGCATGGTTTGCATGAAATGCTTTTGACAACAATAAAGTACATTTGTATAAACACATATGATGTCTACAGAGAGCGCCTTAGTAGTAGAATAATAACCTCATATCGATAACAACAACATTAAGTTAATTGTATGTATTTGTTTTAACTAATTTTTTGATACTGAATTCATAAAGGTTTCAATGAACAGAAAACAGAACTTCTTAGGTTCGGTTTATTTTCAACTTTACTTTATATGATTATTTTTCATTTAAAATATCCACTTAACAAACATTTTCCGAATCATTAAACTTTGTCATAAATTTACACTACTTACATTTAATATCATTAAGTGCAAAATCAATGTCCGGCTCGAACCTTGAAGATATCTGGCATACAACAACGAGCGGTAACGCTTCGTGTAACATTGCAACATCATAGCATAATTGACATTTATAAGATATTTCTTTGCACAATCTAGAGATGGCAGAGGAAAATCCAAAAGTCGTCGGTGTTTGTACTGGTATAAAAATCTGGACATTCCCTTTGTAGCAGCGGGGGCAGCAGCAGCAATTGAAAAAGGAGAGCAACCAACAGATTGTCCTGCATACTTTAAAAATGAACAATATTGATAATAATGGTTAAGATGCTCTATTTGTTGATGACATTTGAACAGCAAGGAGAGATAAACAAATATCACACACATTAAATACATTGTTAGAAAAGGTCGTTAAACCTTTAATGAAGATATTGAGCCATGAAAAAATATACTAAGGCTAACATTGTAGGTTTCACTAAAAAAATACAAACGATTATGTGTGAAGAGAAATATAACTTCACGAACAATTGCATTGAAAGGCCATAGCTTTTGAAGTAAAACAAAGTAAGATACAGGCATTTTTTCATTGCTTTCGTTTTGTTTTGAATTTGTGTGTGTGCGTGCGTGCGTGCGCGCGCGTGCGTGCGTGTGTGCGTGCGTGTGTGTGTGTGCGTGTGAAGACACATACTTTTATAGTAAAGGAAAGATCACTTTACTTAGATACCCTGGATTTACCAAATTTTGATATATATTAAGTGCTTTAATATTCATTTACTCACAACATCTGATCAGTCTCCTTAAACATTTCAGAATAAAACATCCACAACTGCTTTGATCGTTTTCTGGTCCTTGTGTTCCAACCAGACCGTAATTTTCCCTTTGCTTGTCCTTTAAATTAAAAAACAAAACAAATAAATATGTTTTAGACATATTAAACATATAATTTTTGTCAGGGAACAGTTGCAGCATTGAATTTCCAATATTATAATGATCGAAAATGTAAAATAAAGCATATTAATCAGATATCATATCATATCGACAGGTCGTGGCTACTTTGTATCTATCCTGGTGGAAGATGACCTCATGTTTCTTAAAAACAAACAGTTACTTTAAAAGTCCCATAAGCATTGAAACTCTTACAATGATCAGACTAAAGTATTTCATAAAAATGAAACTTGCGAATATTTAAAAAAAAATAACATAAGCATGCTGATCTTCAATATCTGAAATCTACAAGATCTAAATAGAACATTCTCATCTAATCTTAGAGGCAAATCATATCTTTAACAATGGTTCTTCTGCAGTATTTTTACTGCCCATGTTGTAATATAATATATGTATAAATATTCCCAATCAACAGAAAAAGGTGCGAACTATCAACAAACATAATTCAAGTGTAAACAATCAAACGTTTTATATCTTATGACGGCATATGCGAATACCTAACCTCACACAAAACTAAAGACTTTTGCTGTATTTGTTACCCTTAATGGTGCTTTTTTATCCATATTTCACAAACTTGTTTCTATAGGAACCGCATAACGCATACCCGGAGCACTTCGATTTTATCGCATTTAAGTAAATGGTACCTTGATAATAATTTTCTTATATTACAATGGATAACGTCAGGAAAGAGCTCGAGCGTTGAATACAACGTCAACGTCATTTTCTGAAAATTCTACTCGTAAATCGTTACAATTGTTTGAAATACAACGGTTTTAACATCACTGGTGCTTACACAAATCAAGAGAAAAAATGACGTCAATAGGCGACGTTGAAGTCAGGGCAATCATCAAGTTTGGTGTAGGAATAGAAGAGACACCAACGGAGACGTATAAAATGATTCAAGCATAAGTACAACAATGAAATGCTGTAGATCGCTGGTATTTAGATGCCAAGACATGTTCCGAAACGGAAGAGAGTCAATAGACTCAGGATGACAAGCGATGCGGTCGACCATCGATGGTGAAAACTGGAGTAAAAGACAAGGTTCGGCAACTGATAAAGGAAGATCGACGACGCATTGTGCGAGAAATGTCAAGTGAACTTGGTATATCTGTGTCCACCGTCCACGATTGCCTAAAAGAAAACAATATGTCGAAAGTAAGCGCCATGTGGGTCCCAAGACTTTTGAAGAACGACGAGCGGGAACGCACATTACACTGTTCTCGAGTATTCGTGCGACGCGTCGAAGGAGAGGGGTTGTCATTTTTAAATCGCATCATCACTACGGACGAAACTTGGTTGTTCCACTATGATCCCGAGGCGAAACAGGAATCATCTGTCTGGAAAACCCCCGGAAGTTCTCCTCCAAAAAGCGCGGGTGCAGAAAAGTGGCGGATAACACATGTTCGTGTTTTTCTTGGACAGGCGGGGAAGTTATTACAGCACCGTATCCCGGAAGGACAGACTGTGACCGCCAATTATTACTCAAAGGTAATTATAGACACTCATAAATGATATAATATAAGATAAAATTAATGAAATAAATGAAAAACAATATATTGAATTATTTTAATAGGATTTCATAGCTAACTTAATCATTTTATGATTTCAGGTTCTCAGGCGGGATCTCGTCCAGGCTATACGGAAGAAGCGTCCCGGGATCGACCTCGACCAGATTATTCTTCACCAGGACAACGCCCCCGCCCACTTTGCACAGTCAACGCAGTATGAAATTAGCCTTCTGTTATTCGAGACGCTCGAGCATCCACCCTATAGCCCGGACCTCGCGCCGATGGATTTCCGAGTTTTTCCGGAAATGAAAGCACAGCTACGTGGTCGACGCTTTGATTTCGGGTTGGAATTACAAATTGAAACCCAGAGAATAGTTCGTCATTCGACAACATCTGGTACGAGGACACGTACAACAAATGGGTCAAGAGGCATAGAAAAATGTATCGCTGTGAATGGAGATAACGTCGAGAAATGTATCGATATGACGATCGGGGAAATTTGTCGTTAACATATTTAGCACTGACGTGATGTTAGCGTGCTCTGTGTATGCTTCGGTGTATGTTTTGTTTTATTTGTAATTTACTAATTGTTTAATGTATTTTATTGTAATTTTTACAGCTGGCTGTAAAAGAATGAAATATATTATGGTGTTTTTCTTGTTTTTCAATTCCTATTATTTATCAAACTACAGCACAAGTTCTTAAACTTCCCGAACACCCCTCGTACAATTTTCCCATCATGAAATCAGAGAATTTTATGTTATTATATTTTTGTAACAGCTTTCTTAGAAGGGGATTAATATACAAATGGTAAAACTTTTATTTGTCATAGACTAGCAATTTGTTAACACTTCTCTTCAAAACATGGTCCTTTGGGTAACTATATAAAACAGTTGATTTTCAATGTAAGAACTGATTTCAATTTCTTTTAACTTATCCAAAAACTGTGTTGCTTTTATGGAATTTTGTAAGCTCTAAACAGTCTTTTGTAACAGTGCAGTCACGTTATAAAACAAATCCCTGCTTAAAACAAAATAGTATTCGCATAAATATATGGACAGCGTATGTTAGGAGAAGATAAATCTACTTAAAATTTCTTCACACGCAATTGTAGACATCAAACCTTTTTTTTTGTCATATAAGGAAATACAATTGATTCATTTCACCTGACCGTCGTCTTGAAGGTATGTGGTCTCCGTCATCTCTTCTGGGTTAGGTTGACATCTTTTCTGTGAAATATATACATATTATTAGATTTATTTGTAATTGCGATAGATGAAAACAAACGGTATAATAATATTGAGTTTATCCGAAATGATTTACCACAACCTTCAAGAGGATATTAAGAAAATACTGTATTTGTCAATTACACCATGCCTATTGAAAAACAAACAAAAATAAATCTAAACACTATATTGTTTTGTCTTCTCTATTATAGTTTTTGATTGAAAAAAAAAACAAGTAAAAAACACAAAAAACACCCAAAACAACAACAAGGGTGTAATCAGATGTTAGATCAGGTTTGAATACTGAAATGATAGTCAGATACGCAATTCAAATTAAAGCTTTCAAAGCAAAACAAAATGGAACCACACAGTAAGCAATATTGAAGGATATTTCTTAAATATTACTTTACTTTTACATATATATTGCAAAATATACATATTAATCACTTAAAGATCCTGTTACACATTTTTTTTCATGGTTTTATTTCATAAATATGATGCTCAAATTAAGATTTGTCAATATTGTAAGTTCCAATAAGCATTATTTACAAAGATATTACCCAATTTAACATTTGATGTAAATACAGGGAGGTAATTAGACATTTATTTTCTATAACTTCTTATTCATATTTTCCAATAAGAAATGAATGCATGTATTTTATTGATTAAATATAATATGCACAGATATTTGCTGTACACATTTTACATATTCTTTGATGTTTGAAAAGTGTTTTATTTGCATAAATATATACATATATAATTTTTGCAAGTGTGGTATACACACAGTAACAATATCAATCTCAAAACATACAGGATCTTTAAGAATACGGCGACTATCTTACGCGAGTTTACATATTATGGAAACAAAAAAAAATAATTTTAAAAACAGATATTGCCGATATTGATCATTGATATGTATATCAACCAGTAGTGTAAACACTACAATCCAGTTGGATCAGTTATTGTTAATTACTGAAAACTTGATAAAACAAGATTTGTCGAACGACACATATGCCCCCTTTCTAGCCATCGACTCACATTATTGGTAATTTTTGTTATATAAACTTGTCATAATGGGTGCATGGAAGTGTTCAGTTGTGGAAAAAAGAAAAACAAGATCTATTAGTTATAACCAATCAATATGTGAAATATAAAGAGCTTGACCTTTGAACTACTGAGCCCATTATGACTAATAAATATGTGTAATATGAAGACTTTGTGATAAAAGCTTTCCAGGTAATAAGCAGAAACCATATTTACATTTAAGGCCCCTGTAAACTAGTGATCCCAATATCAATAGGGAACATCTTCTACATATTGCTTCAATATGTGTATTATGAAGACTTTGTGATACATAGTTTTCATTATCAAGAGTGGAAACAGTTCTGACATTCAAGGCCCCTGTGACCTTGACCTTTGACATAGTGATCCCACTATCAATAGGGGACATCTTCTTTAAATTACCAAACCATACTACCATTTAAGGACCTCTTTGACCTCGACCTTTGACTTAGTGAAACAAAAATCAATAGGGGTAACCTATTAGGTATGTCCAATCAGTATGTAAAATATGAAGACTTTGTGATGTACAGCTTTCTAGATAATGAGGGGAAACCATACAAGCATTTGAGGTCATTTGGTCATTTACCAGTTGTAACCAATCAATATGTGAAATATAAAGACTTTGTGAAAAAAAAGCAAGATAATGAGCGATAACATTTAAGGGCCTGTGACCTTGACCTTTGACCTTGTGGCCCCAAAATAAACAGGGGTCATCTACTAGTTACGACCAATGAGTATGTGAAATATGAAGACTATGTGATATATAGTAACCAATATTATGAGTGAAACCATTCTGACAGTTAAGGCCGCTGTGACCTTAACGTTTGACAAAGTAACCCCAAAATTAATAGGGGTCATTAACTAGTTATGGCCAATTACAATGTGAAACATGAAGACTTTGTGATGAATAAAATTTTCAAAATAATCAGAGGAAACTTTCCTGACATTTAAGACCCATGTGACCTTGACCTTTGACCCAGTGATCCCACATTTACTAGCTATGAACAATTAATGTAAGAAATATGAGGCTTTTGTCGTGAATAGTAAGCGAGATAATCAGCGGAAACCATTCTTACATTTAGGGTCCCTGTGACCCTGACCTTTGACCAGAATCAATAGATGTGATCTACTAGATTTGGCCAATCACTATGTGAAATATAAAACATGTGTGATGAGTTAATTTCAAGATAATCAGCGGAAACCATTCTATCATTTAAGGCCCATATGACCTTTACATTTGACCTAGTGACCCCAACATCAATAGGGATCATCTAATTATTATTAACAATCAATATGTGAAAAATGAATACTTTGTGATTAATAGTTTTCAAGATAATCAGCGGAAACCATTCTGACATTTAAGGCCCCTGTGTCCATGACCTTTTTACCCTGAAATCAAAAGTGGTCATTTACTGTTCTTGACCAACCACTGTGTGAAATATGAAAACTTTGTGATGTATAGTTTTCAAGATAATCAGCGGAACCCATCCTGACATTTAAGGCCCCAGTGACCTTGATCTTTGACCTAGTGACCAACAAATCAATCGGTGACAACTACTTGTAATGCCCAATCAATATGTGAAATAAGAAGTCTCTGTGGTGAATTCTTTTCAATATAATAAGCGGTAACCATTCTGACATTTACGGCCCCTGTGACCCTGACCTTTGACCTAGTGACCCCAAAATCGATAGGGAATATCTACTAGTAATGACCGATAAGTATGTAAAACATGAAGACTTTGTAATGAATACTTTTTAAGATAATCAGCGGAAACTAATGGTACTTTTATATCAAGTTAAAAAAGATCTACTTTCAACTGAAATATTCATACATGCAAAATCTAATTGATCGAATATTAAATAATGATCACAAACTGTAATATCTTTAAAGTAGCAAGAAATAGATATAAAATAATGCATCAAATCTTATTTATAACAATATTAACTTCTTTATAAGGCTTTTTTGGAGTAATAAAATATCTAACTTACCTGTAAAAAAGAACGATATATCAAGCATATATTTTATGATTCAAAACTTAAAACTGTAAAGTTCGGACAACAAAACGCTAAATCAATAAAGCATTGAAATCGCACTACCTTAAAAAAATACAACGATTAAAGTTATGGTTTACATTATCGACTATGCCCTAACCGTAAAATACGTTATTCAAATTATATTGCTTTATAATGTTTTCATCGTATTTTTTTTTTTTTGAAGGTGGACATTTAGTGTGTTTATAAACGCAAACAATTGTAGTGTAATGGTGAGATCGTTCACGTTAAGAGTCTGCGATTGTGAAAAATTTTAGCGGAGTATTCATGTTGGCTTTAATTTATCTCATCATCCTTTGATATATAATTTTTTGATTTATTTGGGTAAAAGTTGAAAATTAAAATGTTTATACAAGGTTGCAACAAACATACATTTTATTTAGTTCTTATCTTATATTATTATATTATTCTTAGAAGTATGGTTTTATTAAAATTATCAGCTAATTTTTGCATTCATATTACATTGATATAAATTTGCATCCGTATTGTAAGCTATGTCAATGAATTCAATGATTTTGTAATTTTCCTTGTGAGCTAGTGAAGAAGCGTAGGTAATCTAGGTAGAGAACTTTCTAAACCATTGTGGAGAAGAAGAACAAGAAGTTTAGTTGGGTTCAAAAGATATACATGTACTAGGCTTTTTCAAAATTATGTACAAACCAAATCTAACTGGGTCAGTATTTTAATGTAATTTTGATGTTTATATTGCTTCTGATAAATCGCTCTTTTCAGATTTTGAAATATCCTGTTAAATATAATGGCAATGACACCGCCATGTGTAAACAATATTTATGTTTATAGATAAACAAAAAGAATAGCGTATTCGAGTTTACTTGCTGATATAATACTATTGACATTCATAAATCATCGTAGGTATCGAGCCTTGTCGTGGATTCAACAAATGTCTTTACTTTGAAATGCTTCATTTATAAGCTGCCACAATTAATTTCATTATAATTATGCGGTTCGTGGCTTGTTGTCTATAGACATGTTCTCGCTGCATTGAATACTATCACAAAGAAATCCGTTCTTAATTGGAACATATCAGAATACAAAGATAACTCCGATTATTTTTCATTTAGATATAATATCACTTTGTTGTTTTAATTTTACACATATCTAAAGAAGGATGCATGAGACGACATTTTCCTTGTCTATTTTAATGATGAGAAGAGAAAGTGTAATTGTAATTATTTTACAAACATTATACTTTTATAATGCTATAGATCAGAGTCTCTTTAATTGTTTTAATTCATTTTGATTTCTAATAATTACGACTGTAATCACCAGATGGCCGTATTTTATTTTGCTAATTTATCGTAACTAATTTGCACTTTTTACCGTGGGTGAAACATCAACATAAATTTTATTCCAATGTATGTTGGTGGTCACATTATGTGTAATAGTTACTTTGCAATAATTGACTGCGTGTACTTTCTTAAAACAGCTAATTCGGACGACATTCATTGAATATTTTGAAGTTAAACTTTAGATTCAATTAAAGGTGGATCTATATGAATGGTCACATTGATCACTCTCGAAATATTGGTTCTGTTCGATTACGTTCGATTTGATACTGATAAATATTATGCTAAAAAGATTCAACAAATTTGGAATGGTTAACCAATCGTAATAGTTGTGGTTCATTTTCAAATATTGTTTGTAACATAATTGTATAACGCAAAGTCGATAAACCAAAAATGTGCCTTATCATTTATTTCTCTCCGAATTTACTTGCATTTATTTCTAGTTTTTATCAGTATTGACTGATTTTTATAACAGGAACGTAACGTGATGCTCAATACAAGTTCAAACGTGTCGATCAGATAATCGGCAATAATCGGCTATAGTATTTTTCCATTGATAAACCGTAAAGTGCATGTTTGTATAGACTCGTTTATGAAATCGTACCTTTTTGTTTCTATCGTTTTGTAGCACTGTATACCTTAACATCCGCAAATCTAGTTTAGTTATCACATAGAAGTAAATTTGTATATACAATTCAAATACTAACATTAGCTGATTGTTTTCGGTTGCGATTTGGACTATAAGCTTCAAAACTTGGATATTGGTAGTATTTCTGATGTTTGTACTGGAAGCATATTTGATTTATTAGAAGAACATACCACCACAATTTGAGGCATATCACTAAGCGTCAAAAAAAATTTTCCGTTGAATATATGACCGTTTTGTTCTTTTGATTGCACGGTATAAACAAAGCGGAGGACTCCATGATCGACAGTTCTTAACGCCCTCTGGAGGGAAATGTCTTGTTTTTTGAAATCAGTGGTAATGTAGATATTGTGTCTGTATGTCTGTATCACTTTAATACATCGAGAAACTTGAAAACGTTTAAAGCTCTTTTCAAATGGACATTGAACGGTTTTATTTATTATTATTTTACTTTTTATGCAACAAAGTTTGATTGACAGTTCCCTTTTATTTTGCACATAATTACCATCATAGTTCGTGGTAAAAATAGTTTCACTTTAAATTTTCCTCATTTGTTCGTAACATCAATTTCAGTCAAGACTGAACAAATGTTTACAGTAAACTTATAGCGAACACGGTTAAGGGGCCAGTTACACAGACGGTCGGTCCCAAATCGGTCATTTAATTTTAAATTTACTCGCTGTTATGATCGGTTGTCATGCGTGATTTTTTTCTGGTTTTCTGTGTAAACGGCCATCGGTGACAGAAAGCAAACTCAAACGGGGTTGGGTCGATGATTAAAATGCTGAAATACTATCGGTTTTCATCGTTTGTAAATCGGAGCTAAATCGGGTGTAACGCTCATTAATCGGTGTTTGATAGCTAGTCATCAGTGGTTAAACACTTTCCGTCAGATATGGCCGGTGATTCATATTTGGTTATCTTTGTCCGATCGGCGATATCGGTGATTAAGAGCTTGCATATAGGTTGCTGTCGGTTATTTGTAAAATATTTTCACCGATTGAGAATTTTAAACATGTTTAAAATTCCCAATCGGTAATTTGTCACCGATGAAACTTATCTTTCCCCAATAGCAGTTGATAGGTGGAAAACAGGTGACCAATAGGTGATATCGGTGTTAAATACGTTGTCATCGGTTCACTACATAATTTGGCTAAAAAAACCAACCGATCAATCACCGATGGCTCTGTGTAACTGGGGTGTTATAGCGAACTGCCGGTTATATAGAACAATTTACTTTAGCCCGAATTTTGCCCTTCCTTATTTAATATAAAAAATATACGGTTAAAGCCAACACGGTAATAAGGAATTTTTGGTTATAAGGAACTCATTTTAAGTCCCAAATTAGTTAAAAGTACAGAAAATTTCACTTTTATAACGATCTTCAAAATATCGGTTATTCGTAAATAGATCCTGCATTTTCAACTGCACGGATTAAAACTCAGCTGAATGCACCGTTTATAAATTAATGCAGCTGAGAAAATGAATTTGTATAGTAGTACGTAACAAGTTAAATGTTGATGCTGCACATCAAAGACACCGCCAAATGATGTGAACAGTCAATCAGCATTGAAAATCGTTCTCTATTACGGTTGCATATCAGAAGCACAAATCAACTATTTCTCCATGTTCTTGGTATGTGCTGGTTGTTTTAAAGTAATGTTGCATATTTTATATATATAAGTAGAACCTTATGCATAAATTCACAAAGAAATGCCAGGTCTGAAATTCTGAAATTGTTGTCTGTTGCGAGAAACGTCTGGTCGAATCAAAATAAATTAGAAAACAAATAAAATTGAAATGATTGGTATATTTAAAATAAATTCAAGACAATATGTGCCGAGAATATACCCATATAATTATTGGTACGGATTGCATAATGTTCGAATGATTTTGAGGATAAACTGTTCTGCAGTGATCTCCCCTTACATACTGTAGCGTAACCGGTTTGTTGTACTTTCCTAACGATTGAGAGAGAACCGCCTCTCTGATAGTGGGCGTGGTTTAGACTTATCTTGTAATTTAATGATTCGACAAGTGATATTGATCAAAGATGTCCTCGTTCTCTTCTACCCTGTCAACGAAGATTTAATGCTAGCATATGGAGCATAATATCAAATTTAAAATGAAAATTTAAGGCTGAGCCGAACTTCAACAGAGACGATACAGATGAAGTGAGTGACACTGCCTCAGTCGTCACCTCTCTCAATGGTTAAATTATAGAACGCTCGACTATAGACTGGCTCATTGGCACGTTATTTATAATGTAGATAAAATTAGATAATGATAAAAAGAATACGATATTCACACATAGCACTATCAATTCAGCCAAAAGTTTATTCTAATCCCTTAAAGCTCTTTGACATGTTGTACATCAGAAAAGCTATTTTTATAAGAGTGTGATTTGTTAAAACAAATACCAATACACAAAATCAAGTCTATATATATTTTCCCCATTGATGTATGGACAAATGCATATCTACTAGACGCCGCTTACAGGCGGCGTCTAATAGAGGATATTTTTTGCATGAGTTCTTGTCTCCAAGATAAAACGGTTACAAAATGTTTTCCTTCTATTCTATTATTTTTTTTCTTTAATAGATTTTCTCGAGTAAAATAATTATGATCATTTATAATTGGTTTGCAACATTATCATGAATGCTTGCTTATCCATTGAAAACTACACAGCACGCTTGATTGAAATGAAAAGAAATCTATATCTTTCATAAGTTAAAGTCACCCTTAAAATATAATAGAAGATATTAAATTTAAAAAGAAAGGAAAAATCGAATATCTTGTTTGTTCTTCATCATGAAAAGAAAACAGAAAGCACTGTGTTTTGAAAAAAGTATGATATTTTATGAGTAATTGAGAAGGGGAGTGAAACTTATGATGAAATACCAAATGATTTTCAAATTCCAAAAAGTGCACTCTCGGATATAGTGTCTAAAAAGAAATAAATGACTATTTTTTCTTAATCAAATGCTCTTCAAAATGGAGCACAATGGTAAACAATCAGTTCGTTATATGTAAATCTGTTTTTCAAAACTGATTTCGTCTATCCTTATAGATCCATGTAATAATGTTGCACTATTACAAAGTTGTGTCAAAATATATCTTCACTTGTTGTCGAGGAATTTTATTCTTATAGTATAGTATATTTAACAAAGATGTTATCGTCTAAATAATTTCTAAATCAGTAACATCGACCTTTTCTCTATGTCCTTTTTTCATTCTAGGCAATACAATTAAAATGTTCAAACTTACAGCTCATCAAATCTAAACAATAAAGACTTTCTAAAACAATAAGAGCATTTGTATAGTAGCGCATCAATGTATAATTTAGATTTTTCCTCCGCTTTCATTACTTAACCAATATGTTTGGATGATTATGATGTTGTATCTTTGAAAAATATGCAAACATTAACAAATCTTCAAACAAATCAATTGTATTGATAATATGAAAACGGAAAAGATAATATTAAGTTTACGAGATACTTATAAAAAAAATCACCACATGGTGCTAGTTTGATGACGATGTAAAAGGAGCTTTTGGAGTCTAAAAGATATAAGAACTCTTATAGTTTGTTTTTAGCTCACCTGTCACAGAGTGACAGGGTGAGCTTTTGTGATCGCTTTTCGTCCGGCGTCCGTCCGTCCGGCGTCCGTCCGTTAGTCCGTAAACTTTTACTTTAAATGACATCTCCTCATAAACCACTAAGCCAATTTCATCCAAACTTCACAGGAATGTTCCTTTGGTGGTCACCTTTAAAAATTGTTCAAAGAATTAAATTCCATGCAGAACTCTGGTTGCCATGGCAACCAATAGAAAAAACTTTAAATATCTTCTTTTAAAAAACCCAAAGAGCTAGAGCTTAGATATTTGGCATGAAACATCTTCTAGTGAGTGTCTACAAAGTTTGTTCAAATAAAAGCCCTGGGGTCAAAATTGGCCCCGCCCCAGGGGGTCATTGATTTTCCCTATATGCATATAGTAAAAACTTAAAAAATCTTCTTTTAAAGAACTCAAAGAGCTAGAGCTAAGATATTTAGCATGAAACATCTTCTAGTGAGTGTCTACAAAGTTTGTTCAAATAAAAGCCCTGGGGTCAAAATTGGCCCCGCCCCGGGGGGTCATTGATTTTCCTTATATGTGTATAGCAAAACCTAAAAATCTTCTTTGAAAAAACCCAAATAGTTAGAGTTTAGATATTAAGCATGAAACATGTTCTGGTAAGTGTCTACAAAGTTTGTTCAAATAAAAGCCCTGGGGCCAAAACTGGCCCCGCCCCAGAGGGTCATTGATTTTAACTATATGTGTATAGGAAAAACTTAAAAATCTTCTTTTAAAAAACCCATTGTGCTACAGCTTAGATGTTTAGCATAAAACATCTTTTTATGGGTGTCTACCAAGTTTGTTCAAATAAAAGCCCTTGGGTTAAAATTGGCCCTGCCAGGGGGGGGGGAGATCATTGTTTTTCATTACATTTGTGTATAGCAAAAAAACTTAACATCATGAAACATCTCATGGGTGTCTTCCAAGTTTGTTAAAAAAAAGCCCTGGGGTTTAAACCGGCCCCACTCCGGGGGCCTATATACAGGTGAGCGACCTCAGGGCCATGATGGCCCTCTTGTTGATTTTGTAAGCTTAATTTAAGTCTCTTTTCTAGTTTTCAGAATTATGGAATTATATGCATTGTCACGAACTGTGTGCAGGTAAGTTTCACCAAAAAGCAACTCAGAGACACTATGTTTTAGCAATATAAAAAGAAGCAAACGAAATAACAAAATACTGATTTATTGTTTTCATACGACCACTTGATAGTCCGTAAAAACGTTTTACCAAAATCAGCTAAAAATTACATAAAATACGATACTTACAATAATTGATATGTTTTATAATCAAACAAGTCTATGTTTATGTTTTTCTCTCTTCAAATTATAAACTTGATACATAAGTTATAAACGATATTATCGACATGCTAGTAAAAAAAAGAATAACTTTATTTGTTTCCTGCAAAATCGAATAAAAACTTGTGTAACTTTCTCCTGGCAGTTTCATTCATGTCACATTGATATAAATTTGCATCCGTATTGTAAGCAATGTCAATGAATTCAATGTTCTTGTACTTATCCTTGTGGGCTAGTTTAGAAGCTGTGGACAATCTAGGTAGAGAACTTTCTAAACCAGTGTGGAGAAGAAGAACAACAAATTGTTTCGTCCCTGAAATTAATATTAACCTATGAATTTATGTTGGCTAAACAGACTTGAACAATATGTATGTTAATTTTACATAAGACAACAATCAGTTTGATAGATGGAATCGTAATCTATTTTGGATAGCCATGGCATTAAGAATGAAAAAAAAGAAAGAATATACCGTGGTAGAAACGTAGCAATATTTTAATAACCCACTATTTAAAGTCATCTATAAATATACATTTAATTTAAAATACTGAGTCTGAATCATCCCTTTATTTTGCATTGAACGGTGAAATATAAAAATATCTAGAATCGGTCTTTTTACAATTTTGTATTATGTTTGTTTTTTAACGCTGCAAGCTCATGAATAACATACTAAAACATATTAGCAGTAAACAGTTAAACATACCCTGTTAAAGATATTACTTTTGGCTCCTTTATCACGATAACTCATTTCAGAATTGAATTAGAAGTTTCTTTGTGGACATGTCTTGGAATTAAGTTTGAATTTCAAAACAAAATAAGACAATACACTTACGAATTCCATGTATTGCAAAGTCAATGTCCGGTTCGAACCGTGAAGATATTGGGCAAACAGCAACAAGAGGAACCTCCTTGAGTAATTCTCCAATATCATAGCAAAAATTACAATTGTATGAAATTTCCTTGCATAAAGATGAGATTGCTGAACGAAATTTGTCAGTCGTTGGTGTAATTACGGGTATAAAAATCTGTACAGTCTTTGAACGCAGCCCTTCCTTGTTTGTCAGTTTTTTTCTTACAACTGAAATAACGGAAAATGCTTATATTGTAAATATAATTGGACATTTTTATGTCTGTAAAACCTTAACCATTTAAACTGTCGACCAGGCGTTTAGGTGAGACACTTTTTTTAATCAGCCACAGAAGTTCTCCCAGTTTTTTTTTTATTCCATTCTAAGTTGACCGAATCCATGACTGGAAATCATAACGATGTGTTTTTTATGAATATTTTAACCTTATAAGTACTAGCGAGACAATAATCTTTAAGGTTCAAACTCATTTCAAATTAAAGCAAAGAGTTATTAGAAAATCTGTCACTAACAGAAAAGTGGTGACAAGGACAGGACATGACTATCAATGAACTATCAAATCATGCCTCCGATATTCTGATATGAACCTAACATTTGGGCTTGTGAGCTATGGTTTTCAATACATGTCAACTTAATAAGGAGGATATTTATGCCTCATTATTTCAAAGTCCACCCATGAATGAAAAGCTTAGCACAAAATAAGACAAGCTATTCATAATTATCAAGTTTATTTAAATATATTTCAAAATATTGTAAAAACAATCCAGGAACGACAAAATTGTTGACCGAACACAACATCGATGCACTTTTATGAAAAAAATCAAATCATGACTTTGGAAAACAAGTTAGACGAGGGCCTGATTCATGCGCGGAACACATCGTCATTATATCCAACACATGTCTGCATTATACGTTTTAAATCCATCTAAGAATTGAATTTTGGAATAGATGACCGGGCATAAATGACACAGTTATGGACCGGACACAGCTCTGGTGGAATGACAGAAGGACGGACGGACAGATGGAAGGAGGGACGGATGAAGGGAAGGATACTACAAACACTATATGTCATGCCATTTTGGGCAACATAAAATGAAAACCATAATGTTCATGATCACTTATGTTTTAAACCATGGGAATACAATATAATCAATATAGAACGGTTTCACGCTATAAATTGTGATTTTATAGTATCCAATTTGAAAAGTGGATACCTAAGGCCCTGTCAGATTAGACCGCGCTTTTACTTTGCACATGTTAAATTAAACAAAGCACCAGGAGATCACCAAATAAAAATTAATACTTTTGATGACATTGGTTTACGACGTCTTCTAGGCAATAATAGCGTTGCTTCGGAGCTTTGACGGCGTTGTCATGCATTCTTACGGAGTTTAAATTGGCAATTATCTGCATTCGAACTGCGCTACAACGGCGTTATATGCGATTCCACTGCGCTTTCACGGCGTTCACACGGCGCTCCCGCGGCACTCACACTGCGGTGAAGACGTGCTTCGTACATTAGTTGTTTATTCTATTCCAGACGAACAAAAGTAGTAAGACCATGCCAGCTTAAATGGTTGGAAAGGGTAAAAGTCTATGGAAATTGGAAATGCAATTACAGACAAGGCCCTCGTCATCCATGGTTAAAAAGATATTTATTTGCAATCGCGTTTAATATATACTGTTATTTAAGATGACTCGCCTGGAGAGCGCTTTGCTCCTCGTGACAGCGCCATAAAGTCGCAATAGAGCGCTTTAGAAAAATAAAGCTCCAAAAAAGCGCCATAAACACGCAGTAAAAGCGCAGTAGTGAAGCCGCACAATCTGCGTACCACCGCCGTTGCTTACCGCAACGTTCAGTCGGTGATACTTTTGTTCTCTCAATGCGCTCCTGGTGCAATGAATGACATGCTACTTAGTTGGTGCGACGCCTTTACTGTAATCTCATTGCGCCATTATCAGAACGCCGAGTGACGGCCTTTACTTTTGGCATGTTTGCAGCCTCACTACGCTCAGCCTGGCTTTCTGAATTTTCTTTGAACGCCGATAGAACGCCGCCAAGGTGTGACAGAGTTTGTATAAATTAAAGTTATAATATCCATCTAACAAATTAGAGCAGCCAAAATGAGACACAGATAGCATTATTTATATATCTTTTCTAGAAGACTACACTTGAAAAAAATCAAACGTTTCAAAAAATAGTCATTATCTTTTTAGCTGTTTATGGTAAAAGGTGTACATTTAAAAAATGAAAATGTTAGAGGAAAGAAAATTTCATCGGACACAAACATGTTTAATATTTCCATTAACTTACAATAAATAGCAACTGCGATCACCGCAACCATACTAAATCCCTTCAAACAGCAATAGCTGGAACCGTTCGACATTGTTGTTTCTTGATTTAATTCTGGTAGGTGATTTTCATCCATAACGCAATTTTGATATTCCGTGTACTGTTTACTAAAATTGATATTTAAGTTTGAACATTAAAATATATAATTCGGATAAAAAAGATCTTTTTAATATTTCAAGATATTAATCATTATGAAAATAATGCATAACATATCTAATAATAATAATGCAATTAAATGTTGAACCACAATATGAAGGAAAACAATTAGTAACAGAAAGGATAAATCGATCATAATAAAATATAAAATGAAACTAATTTGTATTGGCAAACATCATCTGGATGGTCTTTTGAATAAGGAATCATTATACCAATATCACACACAAAGAAAAATAGCAAATTGAAAAATCTGACTTCGCTAGACAACTTTAAGAAAGCACGCATTTAAAATTACTAAAGTACATGTTTATAAAACGGTTCTTGTTACAAAAACTGATTTATATTGATTATCTTATCATCTTCTGTATTTGTGTTTTCATTTTTTAAACGAATTGTCATTATAGAGTACTTAACGTATCTTACTTACCTGTAAAAACAGATTCTTTACCAACCATATATTTTACACTTTAGCAAATATAACTTTGTTCTTAACGTAACATAACGGTAATATAATGAAGCATTACAATCGCGTGTAAAAGCATTTAGACAGTCGTCTGTATAAATATGCAATTCTATTTTAAGCAATATTGATCCATACTTAGTGAATAACAAAAGGCAATCGGTTTGAAGGACGCGTTACGGATTATTAATGCATGACATAACGCTATATGTTTTAATGCAAAATTGACAAAACAAACTCTTTGATTTACTATCCCGATAAAGTAATGGACTTCAAAGAAAATCGTCGTAGGTTCGATGGAAGTTCAAACAGTACAATTTTTAAACGTACTATTGAATCATGTGTACTTCAATTATGTGTGCACGAAAATCAAACATTTCACCGTTTACCAAATACTCATGTCACATTACAATACATTAACGTAACACAAGAAGGGTTCTGCCAATGATTCATGTGTCTTGGGGTAAACAATACAGATGCTGACCAAACGCCCTCTAGAGCGGTTATTTATCCAATAATTCGCACTAATGAGAATTTCAAAATAAGGTTTCCTACTTTTTTAAGCCCCCGGGCATATAGTAATTTAACCGTCCGTCCGTCCGTCTGTCCGTATAAACCAGAGTTACATTATGGGGTTTGGTCTATTGTTCTCATAACAATAGATGTCTTTGATGTCATTCATTCCGTTTCTCTTGTGGGGTTATTTTATGCATTGTGGAGTTAAAAAGAACAAAACAAATAACAAAAGAAAACCCCATAATGTAGCTCTGGTAAGAACGTCCGTCCGTCCGTCCGTCCATCCGAGCAAATATATTGGGTTTAGGGGCTATATAACAGTAAAGAGAACAAAAGAGAACAATAGGTTCATTCCGTGATCAAAGGGTTTAGGGGCTAGTAGCCCTTAAGAAAACAAAGAAAATAACAAAGAAAATAGCTCCTAAAGAACGTCCGTCCGTCTGTCCGTACAAGGTTTACCTAGAACGGCAAGTTGGATTTTTCTTATGTTCTACCTGTACCAATGGCTTCTTAGTTTATACACTTACTAATCAATACAGAGTACATGATCTGGTGAAGTTACATAACTATGGCTTCCATATTTATCAAGTTATTGCCCTTTTTAGCACTTAGAAAATAAATAATGGTTAACCTAAAACGGCAAGTTGGAAATATCTTAAGTTCTATCTATACTAATGGCTTCATAAGTTCCACACTTACTCATGATATTGCCAAGTTATATAACTGTGTCATCCATATTTCCCTGATATCTCACTTTTTTCACTTTGAAAATAGGGCCTTGTCTGGTTAACCTATTCTGGCAAGTTGGATTTATCGTAAATTTCTCTTACTTGCTTAATTTATTTAATGATATCTTGCATATTTGGTAGGTGGATACCTTTAAGGTCACTAATTTTTTGTGGAGTAAGTGGTCTCTAGGGTCAAGGTCACTGGTTTAGAAAATAAATTTAAACATTTTTGCTCATACAGCCTTTATTTTTTGGTGGATGTCTTTCAATTTTGCTACAAACATGCCAAGGGAAGTCCTCCTTCTTTGGGTATAGTAAGGGGTCATTTGGGTCAAGGAAAATGTCACCAATGTCAAGGTCTCCAATGTTGAAAATAGATTTTTACATTTTTACAGGTGTATTAACCATATTCTATAGACAGATGTCATTTATAACTGATAGGAACATAATATTTGACGCAGTTAGTGGTCAATTGGGTCAAGGTCACCAGTGCTAAATAGACTTTAACACATTTGCTCATACAGCCTTTATTTATTGACAGATATATTTTATATTGGGTAGGAAGATAACTTACATGATATTCATCCTTTTGTTTGGGGTAGGGATTAGTGGGTCAAGGTCACTTGTGCTAAAAATAGATTTTTACACTTTTGCCAATACAGGCTTTATTTATTGACAGGTGTATTTCATATTTGATAGGAAGATAACTTGCATGGTATTCATCCTTTTCATTGAGTTATGGATCAGTGTGTCAAGGTCACTAGTGCTAAAAGTAGATTTTTACACTTTTGCCCATACAGCCTTCATTTATTGAAAGATATATTTCATATTTGGTAGGAAGATAACTTGCATGTAATTCTTACTTTGAAGGGAGTTAGGGGTCAGTTGGGTCAAGGTCACAAGTGCTAAAAATAGATGTTTACACTTTTGCCCATACATACTTTATTTATTGACAGATTTATTTCATATTTGGTTGGAAGATAACTTGCATGGTATTCTTCCTTTGGATGGAGTTAGGGGTCAGTTTGATCAAGGTCATCAATGCTGAAAATAAATTTTAACATGTTTGCCCATACAGCCTTTATTTATTAACAGGTGTATTTCATATTTGGTAGGAAGATAACTTGCATGATATTCTATAGGTGTCAGTGGGTCAAGGTCAAGGGTGCCAAGTACAGATTTCTTACATTTATAAATATTTGATAAAGTTGAATATCTATCACTTCACAAGTCATAGCAATGACTTGGCAACTTATATATTTCACAATTACAGAATGCCATGACTCTGTCAAGCTATATAACTAGTGTTTACAATTTTTGGCAATGTTTCTGTCCATAACTGAGTGAATGGGTAAACATTTTTTGAAATATTGCTACTGACAAGAATCGGAGCCGGGGGCATTTGTGTTTAACAAACACGTTCTTGTTGGTTTTTTTGGAATCGTCAGCAATGGAAATTTATATTCATTCAAGCAGTAAAAAAATATTTCCCGTTTTTCGTTGTAATAAACATCATATTTTATTCAAAGGCAATTGATCATATCGATATTCATTATGATTTTCGAAAAATTTTAGAGTGTCATTGAATGTTCGACTTGCATTGTTTTGAAAAATATTTTAATCTTGTTAAAAATGGATAAGGTTACAATGTTATTTAAAAATAATGTAAATGTATATACTTTGCTTTATCATATCTTCAAAAGCTTGTAATTAATCATTATTTGTGACCATAACTTGTTCAACTGATTGGTCTAATCTCTAATTAAGATATCGGAGTTGTAACGGGATCTATGTTCAATTGTGTCGTTCTTTTACGTCAAACTTGTTTAAGCAGAAATAATAAGTTGTTTTCCTATGATATCTTATCCATATGGGTAACGGGTCAGTTGTTACAGATTGAGTTAATACCGATTGTATTTGTATGAATAGAAATTCACCGATTGTATATGAATGAAATAAGGTTATAAATGTTACTCGATAATTGTGCAATGTATTGTAATGCTTTATAACTATAAAAATGTGTATTTAAATGATTGCAAAATTCAATGTAAACATTTAAAAACATTGTTAAAATACAAATGATATATTTGACATCAAGCCCGATCTATTTATTTCCTTTTCATTTACAGGAAACACCATTTTAGACATATGTTTTAAAATAATTATCAATTTCATTACTTAATTGATATATTTAATGTGATGGTGTTATTATTTTATCTCAATTAAATGGGTCACTAGGAAATACTTTAAATATTGTCGAAAACCTACTAAAATTACATTTTTTGGCCTCTGGTATATGTTATTAGGATTAATATTCTGTGGTTGATGCCAACATGTTGAGATGTAAATGAAATACATGATTAAAGTGGTTCCCAAAAAGAAGTAAGTTTTAAAATGAAATACAATAGGTCGTCTGATCTTCAAGAAGGTTTTCCATGGCAAATTCCATTGTGTTATAGCGCACTTAACACAACATTGTATAAACAATAAAAATACAATGGAAATAACGAAATAAACTTTCTTTTGAAACAGTATCTTGTATTGTTTTAATTTAATTGGGTTTCTCTTATTTTGTCGTCTTAGTTATGTTTCAAACCTAACTGAATATGAGTATATGTCACTAAATAATGTGATGAAATGTATAAGTTGTGATGTATTGACTCGTGTCAAGCAGTAAAATTTACATAGGGTCAACTTGATCCTGTAAAAACAATTGTGGAATTTTAAAATTTCTTAAACCCTAAGGATAATGAGTTAAAGGGTCTTAATAATAATATAAATGACTTATTCAATTATAAAGTATCAAATCTTAATTTGTGCTTGATCGTTGAAAAGGGCAATTTAGAAAAGTAAGCATAATTCTGGAAACATGTTCGCAAACTAATCTGCTATAAATAGTCAGCAAAATTTAATATATCAAGTTTGAAGCGAAACATTTTTCACGTTTGTTTTTATTTTTTGAGAAAAGGGCAAATATTGCAAGTAAAGAAGGGGAATAATTTAGCATTAATAGCTTATATTAATCGATATCATACATTATCTGCCCCTTAGAAAGAGATTTCAAATTTAATTGTGAAAAACGTTTTATTTTGTTGTGTTGGGCTTCCTTTAGGGTTTCTGTTTTTCTCTATTTTAGTGAATATTTTTGATACTTTTTGACAAATGATCCTTTAAAAGAATTAAATTAAGAAATCTGAAATGCAAAAAGGGCATAACTGAGAAAAAATAACTGATAGAGTTATCTGCCGTGTTAAAATGCATTTAAACAAATACAAATTAAACAAAGTTTGCAGTAGGTTACTTTGACAGAATTCGAGAAACTGACTTTAGAAACAGAGAATGAATAAAAAGGGTTATAATTTTGCATATGTGAAATATAGGATTATTTGCATTTCAAAAAGTGGTGCTACATTTGATAATGTTCTTGTTCACCAAGTTTAAAGTGTATAGCTTTTTATGAAATATGGATCTAACATAAAGGTATATCATGTCAAAAATTCTTCGAAATTCGAAACGGAGGCAAAACCTAGTATATTAAACAACACAAACTAAGAACAAGTAAAAAAATCACCATGTGGCAAAAAAAAAAAAAAAAATACAAGTAACAATATATTTTTTTCGCCATTCATTCAATACATCTGTTATATTCATTAATCACATTGCATACGCTTGAAAACATGATAGGCATATTTTTAGCATATTTTAGCATGCTTTTTTCCAATGCACGACCAGCACACTTTTGCCAAAGCTTCACAGTGATATGAAAAAAAAACATTATTATTAAAAACAACACAAAGATACTTATATCGATCCACCGTTTCGAGGATATTTTCACCTACGTTGAAACTATAAATGTCAAATGTAATATTACAAAAAGGGGTTACTCTAATCAGTTTTCGCTATTAACTCAATAGCAAAATTAAACAAAATAATACACATACAACAAAAACAAAAAATAAATGGCATATACAATGTACCTAAATAAAAAGACACATAATGAAGGGGTGGGCGAGTATGGTAGAATTCAAAAATTCATGAAAGCTTGTGATACAAACTGTGCAAAAAAAACAATTCTAACACTATCGGAAATTTTTCTATATAGACAAAGAAGGCCCGAAGCGTGCATTATTCTGCAACAATGCACTCGCCGTTCTTATTATCTCCCTGTGTATTTTCACATTGAGGGCGCCATTTTGTTTGAAAAATCTGATAAATAAAAACAATTTTTTGTCGAATTTTGTTGTGAAAACTATCTAGAATGATAGAAAATTGTCTAACTAAGAAAATAAATCCGAACACCAATATCTTTAATTCAGTCGTTAACGCTGTACAGACGTTTAAAGTGTTGTTTACGTGACGTCACAATGTAGCGCCAAACAGCACGTGCAAAACAATCAAAATCAAGTACGCTATTTTAACGTCGCAGACGAGTTAAGTTTTACATTTATTTCACTTTTAATAATTTGTATTTCGCTTGGAAAATTATAGAATGAAATAAAATAATCAAACAAAGTTTTATCAACGTTTTCAAAATTCGTTATTCTCAAAATGTTTCTACACACGGTAGATTTAACGACAGTTTTTTTCAACCCACTGGAACGGTCTTTAAAGAACGTTTCTATTGGAAACTCTAAGGCGAAAACAAATTTAACCGCTAAACATAAAGTCCAACTTTATAATAATAATTATATTTTTTCTTGACGTGTTAGAATGGAAATAGATATAAATTCTTCGTGCATTATTGTATAATAATGCACGTTTTTCGTTCAAATGCTTTGTAATTAATCACTCAGGCCTATCGGCCTTCGTGATTATATTACTACGCATTTGAACTCAAACCGTGCATTATTTTACAACAATGCACTCAGAATTGATATCTATTTCCTAAGTAAAACGACTAATTTATAATAACCGCGGATAAAACTGGTAAGGCATATCTAAACAAATCACCAATTTAAAAAGGGAGATCATCATGATTACTAACTAAAATAGATTTATCTAAACTATATAAACCAGGTACAGATAACAAACGTAATACAGTGTATTTTCAATCAAACATGATGATAGAAAGATAGATAACAAGTATGTGTAAATTTCGTGAATAGTATAACATTTAATTGTTGATTTTTATCATGGCTTTAATAAAATTCTTGGTTGTATATATATGACCTCAAATGGCATTTAAATATTTATCTTAAAAGTTAAGGGATACTCAGGCAAATAAATGAAAAAAATATTAAAATGATTTAATGTACTCAAATCACGCTAAAATGACATTTTCTAAAGACCCAGCATGAAATTCTGTTTAAATTTTATTTTTTTGGGGTTTGAAGGGTAAATATATCTAGATGTATTGAACGAAATTTACCGCCGACATAATCACCGAGTTTTTGTTTCTTTTCTTTTTTAAACAAGCCATGTGACTTGGACAAACCCTGTGAGTTACAATAACAGATTTTGTGGATATTGAATAATTGAAACAAGTCTACGTCATTCATTTGAAATGTTCTTTAACGTTTCTATAGTTCACTGTGGCAACTTATGTGAAATCTTAACGCTCTTACCTGACCACGCGGGTCAAGTTAGGAAACAAGCATTTTATTCTTTATAAGGAGAAAAGTGGTGTTCCTAAGACTTTCTAGTTTATTTATTTTGACATTTATAGAAAGATGAATGAAAAACTCAAAAAGAAGAATTGAAAATTTTGTCGTGTCTCCCTTTAAATGAAAAGTACGCAGCACCGCCATATATTTGTAAATAGAAAATAGTAATAAGTAATAGTTATAATGTATTAGAAGTAAAAATATCATGTGTGAGTACACACATGTATTTATTGTATGTATGTACGTACTGACATGTTTGAAAAAAGTTTATACAAATAATACCAAAAATAAGAAGATGCAATCTTATGTTTGCATACTTAGTTTATATTTTATATCAATCTTGATAAACATTTAAGATTAAATTATGAACAAAAACAAATATTTTAAAAACAGTCACATTTTTAAGAAAGAGTCTCAGACATATTCTTTTGTATTAGATATTCTGAAATGTAAGGGAAGTAATTACGAATCAAAAACATTTAAATCTTGTAAGTGTAGTGTATCCTGTTTCTTGCATCTTACTATTTTCACATATATTTTGTTTACTTTATTGACAGATTTATTGTTGACTAATGCCAATACTAATTCAAACGTGTATATACCAAAATGTGACTATGAGCTATAATGGCTTTGTCAAATGTGTATTTTGAGATTTATGAAAGAAAAAAGCTTCTTATTCATACTTACGATGACAACTCTAACCTGTTATTTATATATTTTGCAATCCATTTAAGATTTTATCAGATTTTAGATAATTATTCAATCAAAGAAATAATATTTCATATCTTTTCTAATGTTTATTCATAAATAATACCAACATTATGTTGCCTACATGAGCGTACATTTTCAAGAAACAAATTTGCGTTTTTTCTCTCTCAAAATATCACATGTCATCAAAGCTGTTTGCTACTTGTTATAAATGCAAAATGCAAACTGTGTTGACACAGGATTCAGAACGTAAATGCAAATGAATCATTGCATTTAGGTTAATGTGAATTAAGTTTAGTGTGACACAATTTAAGGCCATCTGTTTGATAACATGAAATCCACGTATAAAATGACTTATGTACTTAGGATAGAAACAGTACACAGTGACACTTTTAAAATAAGTTTATCGGATAAATACACGGAATCGGCTAGTAATTATTTTCAAAAAAGTGTGTTTATGGTCGAGTTAGTTGATATGTTGTTTATAATGATGTAAGTAGTGTTAACTTTTTCCATAAAATTATACACTTCATCAGTTGAATATTTACAATGTACGTCACATCCGGTTTGAGGTGGACCTGCATATTAATATAAACATAGTGAGGGTTATACCAAGGAAATTACCGATAAATTTACAAGTATGATATGAAAAATAAGTTTACCTTTAAAACTAGTTTAGTTATTTAAGTTGTTATACATGATCAAATTTCAGATCTATTTAAATTGACTTGTGCGTATAATGGCCACTGAATGAATCAAAATAAGAACATGATACATTGGTCTCGAGATAACGTTTTTATCTTTTTATATACACTACCATAAAATTATTTTATCTTTACTTTAGATTTTATGTATATGTACATTCGGTTATGTTATAAATATGTTAACTTATAAATGGTATGGACAATTTTAAAGAAATTGGTATGTAAGGTTTAATCTTTTCTTGATCAATGTTTACATAAATTGTTTACTTTGTTTAACATTATCGAACATCGTATTAACATTTTCATTTATATGAATTTGAATCATGTATCATTATGCAATTTTCTGCTCCCTTCCTTAAAAGAGTAAAAAAACAAACAATATTCTTGAAGACATTCATGCGAAGATAAGTAAATGATCAATTTTAACATGGTCGTTAAGAAAATATTACATGTAAATACTATATAGTCTACAAATGTGTATTGATAAGTATTATTCAGATGTGCACAATGTTATATCATTTTCTCGCTCTATTCTTTTTTTAATATTTATCTTAATTGTGCAAAAGAGACCCATGCAACAATTAATCAAAATAATCTAATAAATTGATTTGCCATTCCATTTTGGAGTTTTCATGAATTATCCTTTGCATATTCTAGTTTTAAGTGTTCCAGTAGTTGCAATAGTAAGTTGTGAGATAGTGTCGAGAGAAAAATAACTTAACAAAATAATGAAAGGGCAATTACTCACTGAACTTGAAAAAAATCATTGAACTTAAAAATGTTGATAATAGGCACAATTTAATAAGGTTCTGTAGAGTTGAGGTGATATTGCACAAGAAGGTTTAAATATATACAAGTATATATAAAGATATAAATATATTTGTTATAATTTCATAGATCCCTGACCTGTCTAATGCTTATTATCAAATTAGTGGATTCGAAAAGAATTTCAGCACAACATTTTGCTAACAAAAGAGCACATGCCAATGTTTGTGGTTTATTGATATTCAAATAAAAGGTCAGAGTAGGGATCTATCAATTGATTACATTGATTTGAAATTATTCTTATGTGTTTTCATATCTATGATTTTAATGTTTGTATATTATGATTGAAAATTGAAAGGGGAAAAAAGATCTCTCTGTAAATATAAATGTGTTAAGATACATTAAAAAACATCAAGGATTTTAAACAAAATAATTGCATGTTTGATGTTGCAGAATTTTACTGAAGATTGTTTGCATGCAATGGATCAAGACCAAAGAGATGGCAGTGAAGTAATCAACCTCATACTTCATAGGGCTGATTTTATAATATTGATGCCTACAAGGATATTCATATCAATTCAATTGTTTACAATTGTTTATATATACACAAAAACACTATGATCTTAAATGTATTGAAGTGATAATTATTATTTACATTTCACATACAAAATTAGGAGGTTTGATAAAAATAATCATGTTTCATTTTCCCGTTTTGTTTTGCTTAAAGTTTTATTATGAAATACACTGTTTGAGAATTATGCTGAATAGTAAATGATTAAAAACAGAAGAGAACCAAAATCTTAATTTAATTGTACAATCATTTTATAGTGTGATTGTTGATTTTCGATGATCTTATCCAACTAGTGTTCAGGTTTCTTTAACCATATAAATTGTATGTAGATAGACACAAAGCCAATGAAAGTATTGCTTTAAAAAATTGTCTTTTTTATTAATACTTATATTAAGGTTTCGTTCATAGTCTTATGCTTTTAAAGTGTTGCTAAATACAAATTTGAAAAATCTTTAAAGTAAAAGTATATTGTCATTCAACAAGATGAAAAAAAAAGTGTGTATATGTCCTTTCAAATTTTAGGCGCTGCAAACAGAAATTGACGGTCTAAGACCAGATCAAGCAGTCAGCTACAAAATGTCTCGATCTAACTCGATACACTCTGAAGACAATTTTTCACAATCTTGGATTGGAACATTGTTCAAGTTACTGAGCGAGGTTTCGAAGTTCTGTGTGTATTGTGAGTAAATTATAATTGAGTGTTCAAAATTTCAATATAACAAAAATCAATACATATGCAATTGAAATATCATTCCAAATGCATGGAAGTCTTAGAAAAAGATCTATGATTAAATATTTTTAAAATCTTAAATATTTATACAACATAATATATTCATATTAATTATAAAAACTATATATAAAAGCATTTTGCACGTGATAATAATCAAATGTGCTATGAACTGATTTGACTTCGGAAGAAAAGATATAGATTATGTTAAACGCATATTTTATTTTGTTTAAGGTATTCCTATAATTGGACCACGCATCGTCCAAAGATTTGTACAGATTTTAGTACCAGAGAAAACACAGATGACAACACATTTTTCTACTGAAATCGCAAGATTGTGCAAGGATTTCTCATATAAATGTATACTTTGCAACAATATTAAAGAATTATGTGACAAGTACCCTCTCGCCGTCGTGTGTCCAGTATCTTCCAGGTTTGAGCCGGATATCGACTTGGCACTAAATGGCATCAAATGTAAGAACTTTTGTTGATTGTTGGTTAACAGTTTAAAGTGGATCGGTCTAAAATTGGAAAACTTTTAAATACTGATAAAAAAATTGTATATTCTTAAAAAATAATTGCCTCGAATTATACTGGAATTAAGTGATTTAGTATGAACATTTATATGATGGTCCATCATGAATGATATTATTATACGCCAGTCTAAAAAAAAGGGTCGTATTATAGTCCCCCCCCCCCTGGCGGGCGGATAAGCGGTCGGCTCAGTGGGCGGCGTCAAATTTTGTCCAGACCATATCGTTCTCCTTCACCCGTGGAGGTATTTTAATGAAACTTCATACAAATACGTATTCATCATTATGAAAAACCGTGTCGCGCGCATGAACCAGGCCTCTTAGTCAAGGTCACAATTAGAGGTCATAGTAAAACGCTTGTCCGGAGCAAAACTTCTATATGCATTTAGGGATTTCAATATTACTTAACACAAATGTTTACTACTGTAAGGCGGAGTGTGGCGTGTAAAATTGAGGTCACTGCAGCCAAGGCCAAGGTCAAAAATAGTGGTCAAAGTTCAGATCAAAATATGAACATGTGTATTTGAACCGTTAAGTTATCATCAATTGAGGGACTGAAACAAAATGGTCATCATCATGACTTCTATGTCAAAATATTCTGTGATTGGCGTATATTGCGACAATGTTGCCCTTGTTATTATGTTGTCTTTGTAATAATTGGGCCTATATACCAAAGTGAAGTCAACACCAATATCAAGTATTATTTTTTCAGGGAAAACGCAGTTTGCTGTTTTACTTCTACACTCTGGTTTAGAAAATTCCTTACCTAGATTACCAACAGCTTCTAAACTAGAGAAGAAGGAAAAGTATCATAATGTTGAGTTCATTGATGTTGCTTACAACTTGGATTCAAAATTATACACATGTCAAATGAATGAAACTGCAAACTATCAATTGCATAGATATTTTACAAGATATTACAGGGCTTCATTGAATGATCAAAGAAATTACTTCGCTGCAATAACAGGAAGACTCATTGTTGTCGGCGGTCTTGGAGTTTTAGGATGTCTTGTCCTTTACAACGTAATTAAACAACCATTATGTAATTTTGTTGGACGATTAAAATGTTTCATTGTTGCCAATATAATACAACCGTTACGCAGTCTCACTGGACTATTAAAATAGGTCATTGTTTTCCCGTCTTACTTTAGACCAATTTTGTTTTTGCTCAATAGCTTAATAATTTCACAAGACAGTGAGATATTTTATGACACGTATAAATATGTTATCTGCTGATCGTTTCTAAATTATTAAAAGAGCTTGTTTCCTACTTGGTTATTTGTTTTGTTTGAGTTATGGCCAAATCAACACTATAGGTTTGGTCTGTGTGGTTACTTGTTTTGACCGTTTATATGTACTATGATGTCTGCTTCGTTGGATTGTCGTTGAAGGTAGATGTCACAGGGTCATTTGTCATTATATATACATGTATATACTTTACCATTATTATATCCAATATGATATATAGTGCATTTCTTATAAATATATTCTTCCTTGTCCATCCACTCTTCATCTCATATTTACTCCCATAGCCTCATTATATCTTTCATCATATATCATACACTAACTATAGTAACTGGTGACGGGTCTCATTTTTCCGCTCATGATTTACCGCCACGCATGCGCACGGCAGATTTGATTTGAATTACAGTTGTAGATGTGAGAACGAAACTTCTGAATTTCTTATTTATTTATTTATTTTGCTGTCTTTGTGTGTTTTACAGGTAATTTACTTATATAAGGGTATTGATATATATTCATTCTTCATTTTTTCATTCATCGTTTGTTTCATGATTTTGACGGTTTTGTATATTTATGAAATGCACTGAAGATTTGAATTACAGTTGTAGACGTGAGAACGAAACTTCTGACTTTTTTGTTTATTTTTTTATTTTGCTGTCTTTGTGTGTTTTACAGTCTCAATCACAAGAGAGAACTTTATAAAACCCTTCGACCAATATAGAAGGTAACATAGGTATTTGTAATCCCCCCTCTCCTATTCTTTACCCCAACCCATTTCGCCATTGCAACCCTTATCCTTTTAATTCCCTTATAAGTCCATTTAAGTTTTTGTTATTTCACATATTATGTGTCCTTTCGAAACCCTTGTGCCCGCTTCCGGATTTGGTTTGGTGCCTTCTGGGTGCCCTGCTTTGATGTGTCGGAAAGAAACTACGTCCTGTGAACGTTGCATTTGCCTAGTTTATCTTTATTCTCGTTTATTCCAACTTTACTGTAGAAGGTCCATGTATGATTAAGCAACTGAAGTGGGCACTGGAGATATTCACAGTGTTCTTTCTTTACAGTGAGATTTAAAGTTCCCTTTCCATTCAAAAACATGTAACAGTATTTATTCTTCTAAAATGTGTGAGTTTTTATTAAAATTATACATAAATATTATATATACACATAACAATATAAAATTAAGGTGTTATGCAACTAATGAGAACTACAAGTTTGAACAAAACTGCTGCGCAATGATGCTTTTGATAAAGTTATCTTAACAAATGACAAAGTTTATTTCCAAAGAAGTGTTTCCTTAAGTATAAGAAGATGAAAACAAGTAATAAGTTTGTACAAACTAATATGAATTGTTTACCTGCAATTTAAAGTTTTATCTCAATTATACAAGTTACAGCATATATGCTTAAAAAGTCGAGATCAGAAAAGAAGACTCTCTATACATGCTATATACACTGTATATTCAAAATATGTTGTCAGACGCGTTATGTCACATTCTGTTCACCAACAGAGGATTTGGTCAGAGGAATTAAATGTACACAGACATTTAATTATTTTATATAATGTTTAGTTAGGCTTCACTTTTATCATCAAAACATAGAATAATAAACCAGTGATTATCGACACAAAACTCGTTATTCTTCATCAGGATTACCGAAAAAAAACGTTAAAATTATTTCATATCTTTATTTGTTCAAAAGACACACTTTCACCTTGACAACATGTAGATTTATAATACTTTAATTGAAACATCACTGTCTTTTTATGCATATTAAACACTTATTTGGGATTCCTTGGCAAAATGTTGTTGACTTTAAACCACTGATACTCACCGTTGTTGGGACTTTTCTTTCGATTCTTTCATGTATACACTATTGCTAAATTGTCAATGATTTATGTTTGGAATAATGCAGCGACTGAAGTATTCCTTCAACTTTAAAGCTTGATAGCCGCCAAATGACATTAACAGTGTTGGTGAAGATTTAAAATAAATCATGACATTAAAATTAATAACGTAAACCATGGTTAACTAACTTTTTTTAAAGATATTTGCCTTAGTGTTTTAATTTGATACCGGTGATTTTTTGTTACAACAGTCGGACAATTTGTCATGTAAATACAAATAACTGACTTACCGGTGGTAATACAAGAATATGTTCTGCTAAGTAATTACTCAACTCTTTGCACTGATTAGAAGTTTTAAAATTTAAATAACAGTGTGCTAGAAATATTCCAACAGTGTATAATAACTATATCCCATTTAAATGATGCCACAACAAGAAGCGTTTAAGAGTTCACATAATGATGTTTCGTATTCATTTATGACATTGTTGAAGGAATTTAATGCCAAACTTTGTCCTAATTATGCTTTTATCTCCTACGTGGAAGTTTTAAAAGACTTATTTTCGAGGTTTTAGGCCCTACGTAGGAGTTTAAAACTCTTAATCGTTTGTATTGTCTCCTACGTAGGTGTTTAAAGTCCTAAGTAGTACATAAAAAGCCTAATTAGGAAAGAGCTTCACTGAGTTCAGTCTTTTCTATCTCATACATAGGAGTTACAAAGTGTTACGTAGGAGTTAAAAAGTCCTACACAGGAGTTTAAAAGTCCTACGTATGAGTATAAAATTCCTTATAAGGAATAAGGCCTTTTTCTCTTCTACTCTCTTAATTAGGTTTTGCAAACTCCATGTAGGAATAAGAAACTCTTAATGAAGATTTAAATTTTTATAGAACATAAAAAGAGTTTTAGACATGACAGAACCGGAAATAATGATTAGATATTAATGTTTCATTTGATGGAAGTCTAGGCACATAACTAATGTGAACAAATTTGCTTACTCTGTTTTTTTTTGTTGTTTTATTTTGGTAAAAAAATCTTTGTGGAAAACAATAGTTTATCATTAGTTGAGCTCCTTGTACACATACATCGACTATTTGGGAATTCCAGGAAATAAATAAAGGGTCTATTATAAGGGAAACATAAAGATCCTTTATCATGTAGCTATTACATGTGTTGTGGTCAGTAATGTTAAATGAAATGTGTGAAATATAATTGAAAATGACTACACACAGGAGTTTAATTACTTTCAAGTTGATTACACATGTCAACACTTATAGATTTTCTAAAAATATAGGAAATCATATTGAGGTTTTATGAACATCAGTCCATTCAATTAAATTGAAAACGTACATTTTTATAATACAGACGGATAGATAGATACATGTACATTTTATTCATGAAATATTAAAAGCATATCATTTTATAAAACTATACATTCAAACGCATTGCATATGTTCAATGAAATCACAAAACATAATTACACAACATATTACATGTATAACATATGTAACACAATCCATATAATTGAAGCAAATAGCATACACAGAAATGCTGATATCTGCAATTATCTGCATAAAGTATATTAATAATATTTTTTAGGCATTATGTAGAAATAAAGATTAGTTCGTACGACATAACATTTATAAAACACACCATACTTGTATTGACTCAGCAAATACCGAAAGTTGACTAACAAATTAAATAGTACAGAAAAATAATAAATAAAAAAATGCTTAATGCCGAAGTTCAAGAATATATTTAACCTCTTTCATCTTTTACTCCTGCCAAGTAATACTCGTGATGAGTTATTTATCTTTGGCTCCTTTATCTCGCATACGCTATCAATACGAAATGTGTTTATGATATACACATACAACGTATTACTTTTTATTTGCCTTGAAAAATCGGCCTAAGAATGTTTGTAGCTGGAGTCTTGCATTTTTATTCATCTGACACTGATATAATTTATCATCCATGTTGTAAGCGATGTCAATGAATTCAATGTTTCTGTACTTTTCCTTGTGGTAGAGTTTCGAAGATGTTGGTAATCTAGGAAGAGAACTTTCTAGACAAGTGTGAAGAAGAAGAACTACAAATGGATTCATAACTGAAATGAATGTTGATGCTTAAAAACGACATCTATATATTAAACTTCTTTATTTTATGATTGAAAACAGGTAAAAAGAAAGATGCAAAATAAGGTAAAAAGTGATTCAACATTATTTCAAATCCTAATCATGAGAAAAAACAAAAGTAAACTTATTTAATATAGAATAAAACACACAGAACATGTTAGCGTTAGATTGCGAAAACAAAAGTTATACTGATCATAAATAATTATTGAATAAAATAAATATTTATAAAAAATACACTAACTACTTATTCCATGAATTGCAAGGTCAATGTCCGGTTCAAACCTAGAAGATATTGGGCACACAACAACAATAGGAAACTTCTCGAGAAACATTTCAACATCATCGCATATAATACCTTCATATGATAAGTCCTTGCAAAGAGCAGCAATCGCCGACGAAGACTTTGCAGTCATTTCTGTTTGCATTGGTATAAATATCTGAACTTTCTTCTGGCTTTTTTTACTGATTACTGGAAGTATTGAAAACAAAGGAATTAACTTATCATATTCATAAGTATGGATTTTTTCCGAAACTTAAACAAGCACACCATGATTAACCGATAATTTCAACCTTAGAAAACGAAAACATTTGTTTCATGCAGAAGGAATAAGGCCACTCAGTTATATTTGATTAAATGCATTGCGAAATTGTGTTTAAAATGGCATTATGTTCACTGCTTAAATGAGCGACATTATGTATATATTTCTACAGAATGTTAAATTTGAATGATAACTGACCAGTTATTACCTATGTTTATGTTTATTACAGCGGTATTAAACTATTTATGTCACTTGAACATTGCGTAATAAATTTGGAAAAATATTGATAGAATTTCAGTAGGTACTTACTCATTTGTTTATATAATTTTAACAATTATGACAAAATACATCGTTTCAACTTCAAAAGTGAATTATGTCACGAAAATATTGTAAACTCTTGCATTTTTTTTTTATTATCAAATGTATTAATGCAAAACTATATAAGAACTGTTATCAACCGATAAAGCTTTTATAGGTGATGAAATGAGGTATATAGAAGAGGTTTCATATTATCTTATTGGAAAAGAAACTTGTTACATGATACTCTATACTCGGTATAAAATCGAATTAAAAGTCAAAATTTGAAGCAAAGGAAAATATGACAAGACATATAACCCCTGTTACAGCGATAGAATTTGCACAGGTCAACGTATTGAATGCAAAATATCTCCGGTCTAATGCTGTCTGTTAATTAAATTACATTGTAACGATAGTGTTTAAAAAAGAAATAGGAGTACGGAACAACACTAACAGAATGCACGTAAATGGTACACCGAGCAGCAGATATCGAACAATATCCTTTAAGTACAAGGAAACAAATTATAACAATATGTAGATAACTGATGATTTAATGTCAGTTTGGAAAATTAGGAACATTAACAGTTCAAGAAATGACACTCATGACACCGTGAAATCAATGCAAGTCTTTGCGAAGATTGAGATCTCGACCTGTTCCAAACTAATAAAGACTGGCCTCCAGATACGTGACCATGACTGGATGAGAAAGTCCTGGAGTCGGCAACCCTCCGATTGTTCCTTTAAGGGTTGAGGAATATGTGGACGGACATTTCCTTAGTTAAAATGCTCAAGGCATGCAGTTTAAGAGAAGAATATATATTCAGGCCATGTAATTTAAGCAAAATGTAGCCCAAGTTGCATAACAAATATTTTTAGCTAGGCACCTTACTTTTCTATGAACCAGAGTTTTGTTTGTGGTATAACACAAGCATTGAAGTTAAATGGAATCAATTGCGAGATAAAAAATGTTAAATATAATTAGCTATTTTATTATCCTAAACACAGCATTTCATTGATCTGCACTTTCTCCTAATTAAAACATAACGCTTGAAGCATTTTGTATAATTTGATTTTATTCGGAGAGCATATATCAACAATGCATCCAACTATCTAATTATTAGCTACAAATTGTGCTTGAATGCACGATTTAACAATTTTTCTTTTAACACTATTGAATGCATCATTTGTTTTCCATACCCATACTTATATGAAATTATACATTATTTTTCTGAGTGTTTACATTGAAATTTTGTTGTGAATATATTTCATTTCATTGTCATTGTCATTGTACATGGTCAAAACTGTATTCACATTGTAGTGTTCAGTATGCGGTCTTTATTCTATTCTCAAAGTTTTTCTTCTGCTTAAAGGCGATATATTTTTATGGATAATTAATGATCGGAGTAATATTTAAAGTATTGTCATAGTATGCAAATAGAAATTAAATGACCTTTAACTTACAATACACAAAAAATCCAATAACCAAAATCATTAACACTGACTTCCAAATCCAATTTCCGTCACCGTCTGACAATGAGTGTTCTTGATTTATGTCTTGTAGCTGTTGTTGATCCATAACGAATGTGTCTTCCTTTGTGTCCTTACACTTTAAATTAATATAATCTTTAAACATTTAAGAACACGCGTTAGTTTTTTCCCGTAAGATGAAATCGCATCATTCAAATATTGCAAGAAACTAAGATTTTATATTGTATTTTTATGAGCATTAATTAAGATCATTGTACAGATGGTCAATTTAATCACGGGTCATATGAAATGTAATACAATCCTATAAACATAACATAAACATGATAATAGTGTCACATAAATAAGAAGTCTAAGGAAGACACACGCAACAAAACAAAAATAACTTAGTTTTTGAAATAACGTATGATTCAAAACTTTATCACAGATAAAACAAAAAAAAGAAGAAGAAAAAGAAAACAAGCATTGACAAAATTTTAATCTACTGATATCATAAACTAAATAATTTCATCCATTACCGGTTGATAACAATTAATGTCCTGGTCGGTTTATTATGTTAAATCATACAAATATAATCACATTGAGACATGATTTTGTATCATCTACCATGCAGTTATTACAAACAGCTATTTACATATATCTGCTAACAACGCAATGTACCTCCTTTTAGATGTGATATTTATAGACACCGATTCTTATTTTAGTATTTAAAGTTCAAAGGACCATATAGTAAATTACTCTCTAAGTAAAAAATGTTTCCTGATGGTCTAAGTTGAACATATGACTCACTGCAGGTTTTCTATTTAGTACCAAAATTATAGTTTTATAGGTGAAAGAAATTTTATCAAACGTTTATACAAAAAATAATTTGAATATTTTCCATTTGGTTCACTGATACCGAGAAAAGCTACAGGATGGTACATGCTTATCTTATTGTCAACAAATAGTATTACGTGTGCATTCGATTAAACCAAAATCGAAATATTAAAAGTAAGAATTACATGTACACATTTCATTTCAAATTTCCAAAAATAACATATGATAATCAATAATGTGACCTCTCTAAAATATCGGAAGTCTATTTGGAAAAGACTAAAATATTACACGAGAAAGTGATATGAACAGTTATAAATGGAAGTGGGGTTTGCCACAATCGCGGAAGTGCAAAGACTTTCTGCTGGCTGTTATGTCATAATATCTGAATACTTAATTTACGATCAAATAAAATTTATTCGTTCATAAGATTGGCAACACACGAAAAGGTAATCAGATAATACTTTAACAGATTACTGTAAATTATAATTTTTATTTCAATAAAGAAACGATTTCAAAACTTACATTCAATTTAACAAGCGGTAAGGTCAACGTCAGTCCGAGCTTCGAAGATAATGGGAACACGGTAACAACTCGCAATTTCTCGTCTAATGTCTTACCATCATTTCTGTAATGGGTGCAGATGAGAACAGATCTGTCGTCGAGGTGTTATAAGACTGTATAGCTTATCTGTTTTTGTGAAAAATATTTCTACCATGTAATGCAAATTGGATGACAAATATAAGCAAATATTTAACACAACTTATTTTATGAATTTTGGACAGTCTTCACTATGTTCCTCCAAATCGAATTTTGCATTTTAGTCTAAGGTCTTTATCACGTGCTTTTTGCTTAAAATAGAGTAATTATTTTTCATCCTACTCAGTAGCATTCTACCGTACACAGTAGCATTGTAATTAAAAGTCCATACAATTTATATTTTGTAAAATACTTTTTTACTTCGTAAAATCAAAAATGAATTTTGATGTTATGGCGTAATAAATTATCCAAAATCTAGATCATACTACATTTGATTTGAACGATATTGCGAAATAGCTTCATCTGTTCTTTGTGCATGCTCAATATTATTCGGCTAATAACAAATGATACGCACTGTGTTTAATCTTTATATAGATTTTCAAGTTATTTATGTTTTTTGCTTATTTTTATGTCAGGTAATTATTTAAATTGTATTTACTAAGTATTATTTATTGCCTTTGATCTTTAAATTTTGAGCTGTAAATTTTTTTGGTTCTTTTTTCAAAATCCTGCAAAGACTTAACGTTTATCAAAAGAAGGGCAAATGAAAATCGCTATGTTCCTACGTCTGAAATCGTAAATTGATTAAAAGATAATGAAAGATCTTCACGGGCAGAAATATATTCACGGAATATCAAGAAACGTAGCTGAAAAACGAATTTCAAACTAAATGACTCTATGTTCAGAAACGTGAAACAAAACGTCAGAGGCAGACCACGCTATGTTAGGCCAAACCTTTGTGTGAATGTCTAAATCGTACCTAATGAAATACCTTGACGAATATTTTTTACTTAAACACAGAATTAAGTAATCAGAAACAAACTCAACCTGCACTTCAAAGTCCCATAATACACACTAAATTTTGAACTGGAAACAGTTTTATATTTTACCGAACATTGCTTGATCGGTTTTATGGTAGGCACAATAAATAATAATTAAAAAGAATATTGTTTTGTTAGACAAAATGTACATAAATATATTTCTTTGCAATATTTCACGCACGTGTTTAAATGGTTTAAATTGATATCATGAAAAGAGGTCACATTAATTGAAAACAATTATCATTGTGTTTATTAAGTACTAGGTGAACAACAAGTACGTTATCATTCTCACATGTTCTATTAACCGAATTTACACATACATTATATTGATAATTAAGCTTAAAGTAAATGATAAACCATTCGGTCCCTGGTACTGACGATAATATTTGTCTAAATATCAACTAATTATTAGGTCGTTTAAACATTATCACATGTATATCACGCGTCCCGTGAATGATTTATCTGCGTCTAAATCAACAGAAAAATCTAGACTATCAATTGTTATTTTGAGCAAACAGCAAATACATTTACAAAAGTATACTTTTATTCAGCTTAGAGAATTGGTTATTTGCTGCAGCGCAGATCCCGCCTTTTCAAGAGCAAGACACGACGAAGTTTGGTTTTTAACAAGCAAATCAATATTAGTTTACAAATGATATTTTATTGTAAAACAAAAACAACACTGAATTACTTTATTGTGGCTCATGCTACAATTGCGCTTTTCAGTAATGAAAAAGGGACGTGCATCACCTTTTAGAATCAGTGAGAAAGAATAATATTTATTAAGAAAACACTCATTTCGGATAACTATTGTCCGTGCTCTTCATACATTTTAGTAAGATATCTATCATGAATGTTTTTTTTACTTCTGATATTTTGAATTTTCTTATGACTTTTAAATGTTTTGTTAGAGTAAGTAATGCAGCTATATATGGTGTAAAAATGGACAACTTAACACGAAGAACAATAAAAATGACTGTATTACATCCGGTAAGCATATATGCATGTACATAGCCAGGAGTGGTTTCATGATTTAAATTATTCTAATGAGTTAATGTATATATTGCAATGCAAAATGCTTGCTTGGTTTTTATATCAATTGAAACTGTTCGGCCATTATTAATAAAACTTTTGACCGAACACGGATGGATAGTAGTTCTACCAAATGGTTCTACATGCTTACAAAACAGATAGTGTAATCTCGGAGAATTCATTTTAGGGATTATACGCAACTGTTTGACATTATAAGAAAAAAATGAGCCTGTTTCAGTAAAATTATGGTTGAAAATATGTCTGACAATCAACGGATAAACAAACTGAAACAAATCCGAATGACCGTCGACAACAGAACATAATGTTCGTATTCTTCAGCAATCAAATTAAATTAATAAATAATGCGCTGTTTACTTTTATATATCTTATTGTTCTTATTAATAATCAAATTAGAATTTTGCTCAATATATATTAATAAACGTAGTCATGAACCCCGTGTAATCACTTACTTTTTTGTAAAATTGCATTTAAAGTTTGCATTTGCCATGACAAATTTATTTTGCCATGGCTAATACTTTACTATGTCAAAATAAATTTGACATGGCAAAAAATTTTGCTATAGTAAAATTTATCCAACATTTAAAAAAAAAGTATCTTACTTTTCATTTAGCTGTATTATTACAGTGTTGAAAACAGTTGTTAATCACATGATCGCTTCGCTCTGAAACCGTTTAATTCATAAGCAAGTAGAGCTTGCTATCCTTTTATATCATTATTTGATGAGTTTGTTATTTATTAACGGTCAAATACATTTTGCAAACAAAAAGGTGCCGACTTATTCAGTGGTACGCGTTTGTCTCCGGTATTATTATGTTTATTTGTGGAAATCGATGCTGTTTGATTTCTGCTTTTAATTTTTAGAAAGCAAAATATCAATCATGACGAAAGGTAAACAAACGAAACAACGTTTCTACAGTTTATATATATATATATAATGTATGTATTCTGATGACGGATCAGACTCAACAATCACCGCGCAAAGCATTTATTCCATTTAAATTTTAAACTCCGGAACACTTTTTTTCAAAAGGGTATGCTCTGTAGAATTTGCATTGCTTACAATTGTGTGTGCTTTGTATTTTAATTTATTTAAGGGTGCTACGAAGCAAGGCAAATCCGAATATTGAGACAATTCAATCTCAAATGACTTTAAGAACTGTCCACAATAGTCTTCAACTTGGTCGGTCAAATGTTAATCAAAAGAAAAAAAGTAGCGTCCAACTGTAAAAGTGTTGAGAAAAAGGCATGTAATTAAGCTTAGATAACGCCAAATAATGATACTTTTGTTAAATCAAAGAACTGCAAATCAAATACGGATACAGATTTGCGTGAATTAACAGATTTGCATTTCGAAATTGTGATTAATGCTAGATCTGTACATGCACGCAACAATAAATTCATTAAAGAAATATAATGTAATAATGAAAAACTCATGTGTATGTTTAAAAAAATCACTTGTTCTGTTGGTATCATTATTTCAAAAGCACTAATTGTATCTTTTACATAGATCAAGGTATGAAGGTGTCGCTGATGTCACATTTGCTCCACAACTGTGACCATTCATACCATCATTCGCTTCACAACTGTGACCATTCATACCAATTAAAATCAAAATACCTTAATGGATGACAAAGCTATGGACAGGACACCACACAAACTCTCGAACTGACAATCACCAAACTTTGACATTGACCTTAAAGGTCTTATTGTAGCGCACAACACGTCGTCTTGCTACTGTGAACATTTGTGCCAAATATTTACAAAACCCCTTGCATTATCAAAAAAGGGCTGGACATTATACGAGGGGTTCACAAAAATAAACCGGACTTGGGCTGAAGAATTTTTAACCTATCACTTAGTGTTATATATCGCACATCCTCCGAAAGCAATACCTACAAACTGATACTATACCTAATCTGATTACGCAAATAGCATGTCTGTTACAGCGAATTTAATAACCATCGTAACGTAGCGTTCACCCGGTGCCATACGCAACTTTGCACTGACAACAGGCGCTTTATGATGCATATATTTCACAATATGGCAAAGTTAGATTTAAAATTACTCCAAAGCGTTACGAGGCTTATTTTTGGCGTTGTCAGAAAAAAATGGCATCACTAAAACCACTTTTATCATTGCAATCATAATTCAAACGTCATTTGTTGAATACACACTCGCATTAAAACTGATTGATGTTGTCGGAACGTCTCGAAAATCAATAAGTAAATTTTGTCAAAGGTAAGGCCAGATACGTAGAAACGGATTATGGTTATCAAGGAAAAAAGTCTAGGAAACAGCAACTTAGCTTTTAATTGGCTTAAACAATTAGAAAGGGTAATGGAGAAATTGAGGACAAGTAAGGCAGAAACAGAAAGAAGACATTTTTGGGGACATTGGTGACGTCAATCGCGAGCAGTTGAAAAATTAACTGCGGACATTATCAACGATGTTTGACAGTAGTTACGGGATTGTGCAGCAAGAATTTGAAAATCATAAATTTTCATGCATTAACGGTTATGTTTTTGTTTTATAATAATATGATTTATTATAGTATTCTACCTAATGGTCTTATTGTGAAATTTGTCAACAGTTTAACTGTCACGTTCAAAATTAGTTATGCGTTATATTTATTTAAAAATAATAACAATCTTGTCTGAGTTGTATTTTATTTCATTTTATGGTATAATTGATACTTTATCATTCAGTATAAGACATATTATAGTTTTTTGCATATGTTATTTTTCCAGCAATTTTACAGAAGAAAAGAACGGAAATTTGCGTCATTACAGAAGCTTATTATCATCATCCAGTCTATTACAATACAGCATGATACTGTATTTTACAGATATATATTGGATTTCTTTTAAAATGATTAAAAGGCATTCCGTTATAGACAAAACGTTTGTGAAATCGTAAACGTCAAATAATTTAGTTATACCGAACACCTGATTGCTTTACATGTACATGCCATTCACAAAAGTCCTTTGGGACTGAGTTAATGTTTGCCTTCTGTCTTGCGCCGTCGGGCCCTAGTAGGTGATTTTCTTGTTGCTCTGCCTTCCCTTAAAGCATCGAGTTCTTTGGTAATGGTAATTACGCTGTACCTTTTTCTACATTTTACATAATTTTATATGTGTTTTATTTATTTCGTATAATGTTACAACCATGACCATTGTTAGAATTTCACTTGGCGGGGATTAATTTTATTTACACTTTCATGTCATTCAGGAATATATTGGGGCTAAGAGTGAGGTTTGGCGCGCCTAAAACCGGTTTAAAGTCCCCAGTGGTTTAACTACCACTAAACGTTCCAAGACGGCACCCCTCTGTGTTCCTTCACGTGTTTTTCATGTTTGTGTTGTAACTTGTTTTTGAATGTTTACATGTTTTGTGATGTCTGTCTTGTTGGATTGTCGTTTACGGTAGGTATTTTCCCATATCCCCATCCATTTTGAACCCCCTCCCCTTTTCATCCTTACAGCCCTTATCCCTTTAATTCCCATATGGGCCCGTTTGAGTGTATATTGACTCACACATTACATGTCCCTCTCCTTTCAACGCCCTTATGTCCACTCAAGGTTTTGGTTTGGTGCCTTCTGGGTGCCCTACTTTGGTGTGTCGGGGGCTGCGTCCTATGAACGTTGCCTTTGCCTTGTTGATCTTTATTCTTGTCTTTGACAGCATCTTTTTTGTGTTAATATTCTACGTTGATATTTTGTATCATTTAGGGAATAGATTACGATTAATGTTCCGTGTATTATTATGGAATGTGTCAAAATATAATCTAATTAAGGTAAGTAAATATCGTAGTTTAATTCTATTTTTAGAAATTGTGAGCTTAGAATTTCATAGATGCATGTAAAATAAAAACATAAACTAAAAAGTATGCAGGTCGAAATTTTAGTGATCTGATATTAGAGACGGATTGATGTTCAAAACAATGAGCACATTATCAAAATTTCATTACTGTAAAAGATACACAATTTCCTTGACGCGCAGGCTTATTGGTGTTCTTGACCTTATTTGACATGCATTGATTCTGAATTGAAGCTACACTTATATATTTTGACAAACAAGATAGTTTGATGTTTTATGTCACTTCCTTTCTGTTTAATTTTAATGTCAATAGATTTATATCCGAGACATAGCGAGTTGTAAGTCTTTCCATAGTATTACCTCATCTTAGCATAAAAGAGTTATATAAATAATGCAAAAATAACTCTTTGTGTTTCACTCTGTCTTTTAAGTATGAATGGTTATTTTTTAAAGAAACTTGTAAAAAAAGATTTCAGTTGACATTTTGCGGTATTGTTCATCTTACAAGAATATAATTTCAAGTCTGTGTTGAAAGCTATGTCAATAAACTCAACATGCTTGTACTTTTCATTGTGTGTAAGTTTCGAAGCCGTTGGTATTATAGGTAATGAATTTTCTAAACTTGTATGGATCAGTAGAACAGCAAACGGCATCTTTCCTGAAAATATATAATTATTTTTAAAGGGGACAATTACAAATGACAGAACATTCTTATAAATTATCCATACATTCATTGGTAAAAACAGTTTTCAATTATATTGTAAAATGATCGTTAAAATCTTAACAACAAGGTCTTTGATATTGACATTCGAAATACAAATGTTTCCAAAATCACAATTTTTTTCATTGAAACATATAGTAAAGTACACCGTTTTATTTATTTAAAGTTTTAATTTTGATATAACATGGACATCACTTACGTTTTACCACACTGAGAACATGGTCAATGTCTGGTTCTAGTCTTGAAGAAACTGGACACAGAACAACGAGCGGGAACTTTTCGGATGTCACTTCAATGTCACCGCAAAGAATACATTTGTACCGCTTTTTGAGGTCGTTGCATAATCTTTTGACTGCTGGAGAAACTTCTGTGGTCGTGTTGGTTTGAATTGGTGAAATAATTTGAATACACTTCATAAAAAGGAAGCCAGTTACTTTTTTATCTAGGAATGTAAAAATATCAGATGTATAGAAAAGTATGACTAGGTTTACTCAGAAATAGACTGTTTATCTGAAATGTACAATATTGCATATGACGTTTTCCTCCTGAAACTACTTATGCTGGTTTCTTTACATATGAAAGAAAGGGACTGAATTTCTTTTTATCTCATTTAAACATTTAAAGAGTGAAGTGTGAATTAACCATATTTTTAGAATTAAGCATAATTTTGTAGAAATATTAATTCAATAATTATAAATAATAAAAAAATAATATTTCATGATAGGTTTAAAAATTTATTTGAAAGGTTCGGACGATCAGTTATTGCAATTTTGAATTTTCTGAGATGTTTTATATTCTTTCCGTCATATCAAGAGAAAATATCAACAGATCTTTCATTTAATTTATAAAGAATGATATAAGAAATCAAAATAAAAAACTATTGCCAATTTTATTACGTCTTGTAAATGGTATACAGCTATTTCTAATGAAATATTTTTGATATATCAGCAGTAAAAATATATCGGTTCCAAAAGATTATGATTGACATAGTTGTAACAAAGAATGTCTCTGTAATTCAACACACGATGATATTGTACGCAAACAGAATAAAAAGATCTGAAACAAAATAAATTCTGCTATTTAAGTAAGGGTATATCCAAGAGGGTTATACAAGCTCTCAAGTTCTTATACCGCTGACATTTGGTTTGCCAGTGTTACTTTTTGTCTTTTTTCGAAGACAGTGTACAAGCATCAATATCACAAAACTGTGTCTTTTAAAAGAGTCATTCTTAATAAGATTACGAGTGAATTGAAATAAGAACTTACTTTTAGGTTTTATCAAAGGAGATTTCACTGTTAGTTCCGCTTTAGCAATATAATGTGGTGGCAAGGAGTCTGTGTGACTTTTGATTCGTAGCCGACTTTCATCTTGACATTCGCAAAAAGTAGAAACTGCCTTAATATAAAAATATTTGAAAAGATCTTTCTTCAAAAACTTCATTGGATATATAGAAAAGAACTGTTAATGAATTTAATAAAGTACATTATCAAAAGTAACTTGCATCCGGCATATTCATAGATATATACAATTGTAAATTGGGAAAGGCATTAGGTTGAGTACATTATTCGAGAAAATAGGATGTTTGGATAGGAAGTTTTAAAACCATTCATATAATGTGTTTTTTGATAAATATATTTCAAACCAATTTAATTTATCAATACCAGTAACATTTAATTTGTGTATTTAAATAATAGATGATTGATCGAAAAGGTTAGTTGCTATAAACAAAAGGTCTGAAATAAAGAGTGTGTATACGTGTAAAAGACCTGTTATAAGAAAATAAATGATACATTTAGTTATAGGACTAAAACAGTTATTTCCAAAACAGGAATATTAAAAAATAAATTACATAAAGCTAAAAAGTTTAACGATACAAATATGACAGGACAAAAACCTTGTAAGTCAGAAAACGCCTTAATTAAAGACAATTGAATAAAGTTGTTCTTTTTTATTAAAAAATGTAATACGGTTATATACAACAGGGACATAAACAAATATGTTATATCATTTGTCACAATTACGTTCACGATATAGCACAGAGATATCTGACTAACACTATGCATCTTGGCAATAATCCACTACTAAAATATAAAAAGTAAAAGTATGATATCAGGAGCACTTGACTTAGAATAGATATAAGCAAACACTCAACTCGGAATAGATATATGAAAAGTGTTTTATTTTAGAAGAAATGAGATATTTATATTTCATATGCTCACGACTGATTCATGTTTTGAACATGTTCTTTGAACTTTGTCAATAAACTACCATGATACATACCATAAAAAGCCTGAGAAGCCTTGATAAATCCTCTGTTTTCACTTTAACACTCTCGTTTGTAACAAACTAAAAATCATAATAATTATTATAAAATTTAGATTATTTAATTACAAAAAAGTAAAATGTATATATGTGATCGAAATATACGACAAAAATATGGAACACCTTTGAGTAATACCAAAACTTGAATTTGTCAAACATAACTTAATCTAATAAAGTTTAAGTTTGTTGCATATTGTTTCAAAATTAAAATTGGAATATACTTTATGGGTGGTAAATTACTTATAGTTTGTCAAACTAATATAAACGTGCTAAATGAGGCAACCGAAACGCTAGTCTCTGGATATGAAGATCCACTTACTTTCTTTCAGAATCTTTAGGATGATTCAACTTAAATGTGCATAATTATATTGAACGACTTAAGTAACACTTATCTTATATATTGCTTACCTCACTGTCTTCTTTAACGTAAGTCCTTAATATTCCACCCATTTCACGCAATGTAGTATGAAGCTCTGTCTATGACAATAAACATGTTTGATGGAATAACAATATACTTAGAAGGGAATAAGGATATACCATAACGGAATGATGACTTCTGTGAAATTTTACAAAGATATGACCAAAATTAGTTCTTAACCTTGTTTATTTTGAATGTTGTCCAATTTCCTTTTCTAAGGCAAATAAGCCCTAAGTGGCGGCATGGCCGAATGGTTAAGACTTCGGACTAGTAATCTTAAGATCGCTAGCCGCATGGGTGGGTTCAAACCTTGACAGGGACAAGTCGTTGTTTCCTTGTGCAAAACAATTTACACTCATTGTTCAGTACTGGTTGGTTTCAGGAATGGATTCGAAAGTGTGTTTATAAGCTTATAGCTTCCTACACAATCGAACTAAATTAAAGTCTGTATAAACCAAGCCCTATGAAGGTAAATGCAGGCGTTGCTTACTCGTTTGTTTTGCTATTTTAATCCCAATCTAAATCGTTTAAAATGTTTACGAAGTAAAACGCCTTTGTGTTTCAAAATTGTATTTCAACGCCTGCATCCCGTAAAGCCATAAGCGATTATTTGCTAAATTAACACTCAAGTTTTCCATCCCAACATATTTTACAGAGGATAGTGTAAATATTTTAACCTTAATAATGTAACAACATCTATCTTTTGTATTGATAAACATAAGAACGCTTTATTTGGTTTATCGTCGCACTAACACTGTGAAACTCATATGACGACTTTCCATTTGAAAGATGTCATGTCACCCTCTGTTTATTATTTTTAGCAAAATCGATCAATTGCGAATAATCATCGAATTAGATAGTTTTCTTGATAGTTTCCTCATATGGAATAATTTAAGTCCCTGACGGGGTTATTCAAATTTTCGTGGACTGCGGCTCCTCTATTCTATTCCATTTTTGATTTGCGCTTGTTAAAGGGAAAAATATTGGAATTAGTATCTTATATACAATGCAAATATCAAAACAATATGTTTTGAAATAAAGGTTTGTGAAACTTATAATTAAAAATCTCAAAAAACAAATGACGACCGAGGCGTGAAAAGATATATAAGAAATGTCTCCATTGAAAGTACTTTCCCGAACGTTCAATTTCTCACGATGGTTTTAATATAACTAGCTTTTTGTTTTTTTTTATTATAATTTTCTTGATCTACTGTTTGCAAAAAAATGTAAAAGCGGCTACTATTTGATGTGTCTCGTGACTTTTCATCGTGAATTAAACGAGCGATGTAAAGTATCAATCTGACAATCTTTTAAGATCCTGTTACAAATTTTTTCCATGGTTTTATTTCATAAATATGATGCTCAAATTAAGATTTGTCAATATTGTAAGCTTCAATAAGCATAATTTATAAAGATATTACCCAATTTAACATTTCATGTAAATAAAGGGAGGCAATTAGAAATTAATTTTCTATAAATTCTAAGTAAAATGTTTCAATAAGAAATGAATGCATGTAATTTATTGATTAAATATAATGTTCACAAATATTTGCAGTACATATTTTACACAATTTTCGATGTTTGAAAATTGTTTTATATTGTATTTGCATAATTATATACATATATAATGTGTTGCAAGTATGGTATACACACAGTAACGATATCAATAACAAAACATACTGGATCTTTAAATAACATTCAAACAAGTAAATCAATTGAATACTTACTTCCGCGGTAAACAGGTAAAAATCTTTCAGAAATACTTATGATTATTGTGTTCCGTTTTACCATTGATTTATTGAAAAGACTCATACATGATAAATAAGATAAAATGTTGTTTTAAAACTAATTGTGTGGTCAAAATAGAATGTGCAGAGCCAATGCAGAAATAAAGCATGCAAGACAGTTAGCGGACCCTCCTGTAACGCTTTTGTAGCTATCGTCGAGACAGTTTTGATATTGAATATTTTTTATTTAGACGCTGGTGTCCCTGACTAATTTGGACAGCCTTCCTATATACAAAACGCAATAGAATGTATACTAAATATAAAGAATGTTGTCTAAAATTGTCTTTATTTGCATTGCGTTTACGAATAAAAATTCCTTACATAATTGCATTGTTGATTCTTTGCATTGCTGTTCAAAGTACTTTTCTTGGCACCCATAACTGAAAAAATAAATATATAGGAAACGCTTTTGAAGAGACGTGTGAATGATAAATGATAAAGATTGTAATAAAAAAGCTGTAGATATACACATTTCGCAGATCGTTGATAGAAGTGAATCGTTTCCATGTATACAGTTGCTTGTGGTAAATTGCCCTTGCACAGAAAAGATTAAAGATAGATTTGGATGCAATAACAAAAAGAAAAAAAATCTTTTTTTACAAATTTAGTAAAGAATGACATGAATTATCCATAATTTTGGCACAATAATCCAAGGAAAACTACAACAATTATATGAGGAGAATAAGATGTTCTTCAACAAGAATACAACATACAACATAACTGCAACACGGTCGTTCACTTTATAGACTGAAACTTCATGCTATTCAGTTTTTATGGAGCCGTTTGATTGAATAAGCCAATATAATTATTAAATACCATGAGCGTTTGTTAAGCATTGATGGATGTAAGAAAACAAAAAGGTGTAAATAAATTAAAGTTTTGAAGTACATATTACATGTCTATTTGTAACTTTATGGCACACTCGCCATTTAGGTAAGTGTATCATTTCAAAACAATGCTCTCATTCAACGGATTAAATATGAATGGAATTTATTGGTAAGAGTATTAAAGCCGCAATGACTCTAGCATTATTCATTCCAGAGTTAAACATCATTTGAATGTTTAACACTGAGGCTAAATATAACCTAAAGACCAAAACGGGTAATAAACAAGTCATTACCAATATTTTCTTAATATAAATATACATGAAGAGAGCACACAACTTTTGGTTATCAAAATACTAATCGAAAATCAATGTAGCTCACATTAAATTCCCAAAACAGGATCGTACTCTTCTTTAGGATACTCTTAAAATGAAGATAGTCTTTTGTTACATATTACGTAATTTTGTGTTCTCAACATAAGAATGACTTTATAGACAAAAAATACAGCCACAAATATATTGAATTTGAGTATTTTGTATTTCTTACGACTCTTAGCTTGTTAAATGCATTTGTCAGACAGGGGCGCTTGTCCGAAAATAAATTACTCTTAGACTGTGTGAAGTTTTGTACAATTGACGATCGTTTTTTTCTTTTCAATTTTCTTTTCATTTTAATTTTCATATGAAATCTTAATAGTTTTTGTCGCGTTCTTCGATTGGTATAGGAACATTAAAAAAGGTTATGTGTTTGGCACCACAACAATCTTGCAAATGGAATTCATATGAAATAAAAGGTATCGATGCTGTAGCATAAAAAAAATAAATCAAAGAAAACTACTTCATTTTTAAGTACAATCTCTCATTGCATCTCTTTTGTTTAGAGTTATTTAAAAAATACGATCTTTTAGATTACATTTAACATTTAATGTCCATTCTTTATGTTTTAAGTTTTTAAAAACCCGTACATAAGATGTTTTGCGATATAAAGTGATGATGTTTTCTCTATTGATGTCAAGAGAAATAATAAATCTTATAATAATCCACCTTTACAAAATACTCATACTACAATGTCGGAAAGGGCACAACAAATAATTCGTTGTAAAAATAAGACAGAAAATACCGACGGACAAATTCAACATATAATGCTCAAATCTGTATAGCACTTGCAAAATGTTATCATTAAAAGAAATATTCATTAAATATTTTACCTTCTGTTGTTCCACTTTGAAAAAAAAGTCCGGGCTTGAAACAAAAACAAAGTTTATAAAACTTTTATATTTAACTTTTACGTCTTATGAAATAAAATACGTTCTTGACTACATAGCGGTCGTGCGAATTAATCGTTTGTTTGAAATTATTATCCTGTATATGTTATCAGAAAAAAAACTTTGCACTACTTTGATTGACCTATATTGTAAAACCGTCGAATCTATTGTACGTTTATGTTCATAAATTGTCTTCTAATACTTATGTTTTCATACGCTCGAGCGTAATTATAAATGTGTTTGACTACGTTTGTAACAGTTAAAACACATGAGTAATATAACAAATCTTTGTAGCAATGCTGTTTTTGGTCAAAAAGAAAGATAATAGTTTAAGATGTTGTATAGATTTGCGTGAACAGAACAGAAGAACCATCAAAGATGCTTATACCTTGCCTCGTGTAGATGATTTGTTAGATTCACTTGTTAATGTTAAATATTTTTCCAAATTAGATTTACGTAGCGGATATTGGCAAGTCGAGATGACAGAGGAGGACAAAGACAATACAGCTTCAAGACAGCTTTAAGTGTTGGAAGACTTGGGTTTTATAAATAGGAGAGAATGGCTTTTGGTTTCACCAACGCTCCAAATGTTAATGGAAACCTGTATGTGCGATTTAAATTTATAAGAGTGTCTCTTTTTTCTAGACGATGTTTGAATTCTTTTGCAGACTTTCGATGAACATTTCAACAGAATAGAACATTGTTTTGAGCGTCTTCGAGAACATGATCTTAAATTAAAACCTTCAAGTGTGATTTTTTTAGTTCAAGTTTTTCTTATTTAGGTTATGTTGTTTCCTCAGAAGGTTTCTATACAGAGACTAAGGAAATTGCTCCTTTGACTACTTGGCCATAATAAAACCACATAATGTTAAAACTTAAAGTACTTTTCTTGGTTTTAAAGGGTATTACAGGCGTTTTTGCAAAGAAATTATGCTTTAATCGCTTAGCCTCCTAATGATCACTAAGTAAGTCATCCCACAAACAAAGCACCCAAGAAGTCAAAGAAGAGTAAAACTCCCTGGGTTTGGGGTGTTCAGCAACAAAATGCTTTCGACACTATTATTCATCTTTTAACTCATTCACATGTACTTGGTTATGCTGATTTTTTAAAACCATTTTTTGTCTCTGTAGATACTTCTACAGAAGGTCTTGGTAGTGTATGGCTTAGAACGTGTTATTACCTATGCCAGCAGATGTTTACGTGCCAGTGAGAAGAACTACCAAGCACACAAGTTGGAGTTTTTGTGTATGAAGTGGGCCATTTCAGAGAAGTTTCATGACTACCTGTATTGAAACACCTTGATTGTCCGAAATGAACACAACCCACTTACATATGTCTCTTATTCTGCCAAGTTAGATGCTACTGGTCACAGATGGTTAGTTGTTTTTGGTAACTTCAACTCCAAAGCCGTTTACAAGTCAGGTAAACAGTGATTCTGATGTTTTGAGCAGGAGGCCACACCTTCAAGAAGATGAGGAAATCATGTTTTTCATTGATGCCAACACTATTAAGTGTTTAGAATTTAATACCGCTCAAGCCCGTGCTAGGGGGCGTGAGGGATGTTGCGCGTATTCATTATCTCTCATGTACAGACTCACTTTTTCCAGATTTTTACAGATGTCATCAAGGCCATTTGTGCAGAAGACAAAGCCAGAACAGATGAACATCTCCTGGCTGAGTCATATGTTCTTACAGATAATGGTGTGTTAGAGTCTGAGCCTTTTGAAGACACCTTTTCATCTTCAGGTATTTCCAAGATTAACTCGAAGGAAGAACGGGCCAAATACCTTATTATTTTCATTTTGTATGAGATTGTCGAAAACAAGATACAAACGTTACAGAAGTCTGTAATTACTTTTTCATTGAACTAAAGCCAAAACATCTGTCAAATTCTTAAATTTGTGAAATAATTTCGACAAGGTGTACTAAATTATCCGAAATCCAGAGCATACTACTTTTTATTTAAATGATATTGCGAAATAAAGTTATCTGTACTGCTTGCGTGCTAAATATAATTCAGTCAATGCAATCTTTGGTCATTGAGATAAACGTTTAAAGTTGATTTATTCATTAGTTTTTTTTTCAAGCGTTGTTTTCATTTTGTGCAGTGCAGGAAAATTATAGAAAACAAGACAGAGGAGGATGGGAAATCTCTTTTCTGGTAAAGCAATGTCTCTTTTTCCTGACGTCTGATTAATTTTACATTTTTGTATATGTTTTATTACCTATTTTCGAAGAAATTTATTTTTGAAATTTGATTTACAAAATTTAATGCAAATGTATTATTTATTTCCTTAAATACTGATTCTTAAGCTTAAAATATATTTTTTTGTCGAAATGATGCACTGACTGCACGTTTAGATGTTACCAAAAAAGGGTTAATTAGAATGATTTTGTCCCATAATGTCGGGATTCAATTCAAATTGATAGATCTTTACAGTCATAAATCAATTAGCGACCCATATCAAGATTCGAAGCTAAAAGAAATAACTATTTACAATTTTGTGCCGTCACCTTGGCCTTATTCAGAGTTAAATCGCTAGTTATAAAGTGGCTGCCTGGCCGAGTGGTTAACATGTAGGACTAGCAATCGTAGGATAGCTGACCAAATTTATTCAAACCCTGTTAGGGGCAAACCGCTGTTTTCTTGAGCAAGAAATATATCGCTTATTGCTAAGTTCTGCTATGTTCCATACGCTTATATTTTCTAACACAATCGAACTAAAATAAATTAGTATAAAATAAAAATCTATTAAGCATGAGTTTTAAACTAAATGACGCTCTCTTCAATAGTATGAAACAAAACAGAGATCAAATCAGAAACAGGGCCAAAGTTGTTGTTTATGTATAAATCGTAGTTAATGTCATATCTCGGTTATTATTGCTCCCTTAAACCTTTATTCAACAAAACGTGTGCACATTCCGAACCAATTCCTAAAAATTTAGCTTACATTTGGCACGCATATGCGTTTTTTTCTAATTGATGTTTACTACATTTTAGGCAATGCTGTCAGACATTGTTGAATTTTTGATTCTATTAATGTAATTTGTGTTTAAATTATTACTTGTAAGTAAAGTTATAAGCATTGAAACAAGTAAGAAAATGGGCAAAAATATAATTATAGAATATATGAGAAATACAGATATTTAAAGTTAAATTAAAGAAATATGTAAAAAAAAATTGCCGTCGGCCTAAAAAAACGAGCATTATACAGTTCCATTAATCTTTTTAATATTATTGTTGTAAATCTCATCAAATCTTGTTCATGAATTAGGATTTTAAACGGAAAACCCCACGGTAACACTAAAGTTCGTATACGAATTTTAACATGCAAATGAAGACTATAATCAGCTTGTGTATGCGCTACGTCACATTGTTATAGTTGCTATCCGGAACACAGTAAATATGAAATTTTCTTGTGCAAACACACTTTAACCGTTTTAGCTTCACAGTGCACTAGGCCTGGGGTTCAGAAAAAAGTAATCATCTCATAAAAAGGATTAAATTTGTATGAAAACATCCGTTACAATGCGGACATAAACCGTTAAATTAGGACTGCTGCGTATAGTCATGTTGTTGATTTAACATTGATGTACGGTAATATGAAGGCGGAGTTTCTCATGCAAACATAAATTGTACTTTTGATTTCGCCACAATGAGGTTGCCCATTTTTGTGTCGCCTCTACGGAGTAGTGGCGACATATAGGGATCACTTCTCCGTCTGTCCGTCTGTCTGTCCGTCTGTCTGTCCGTCTGTCCGTCACAAAACTTGTCCGGACTACTCCTCATAAACTACTGGGGCAATTTCATCCAAACTTTACAGGAATGATCAGTACAAAGTCTAGTTGTGCATATTGTCAGCATTTTCTGGTTCAATGATTTTAGGCAGAGTTATTGCCCTTTAATAATTTTTAATTTTAAAGTTTGTCCGGACTACTTTTCTTATACCACTAAAGCAATTTCAATGAAACTTTACAGGATTGATCTGTAGCTCAAGTCCTTGCGCACATTGCAAGGGTTTTCCGGTTGAATGATTTTTGGCTGAGTTATGGCCCTTTGATAAAAAAGGTGTATTTTTCTGTGTGTTGCCAGATACACAAAAGCTTGTCCGGACTACTCCTCATAAACTACTGGTGCAATTTCATCTAAACTTTACAGGAATGATCAGTACTAAGGGTAGTTGTGCATATTATCAGCATTTTCTGGTTCAATGATTTTTGTCAGAGTTATGGCCCTTTAATTTTTAAAGTTTGTCCGGACTACTCAACATAAACTACTGGTGCAATTTTATCCAAACTTTACAGGAATGATCAGTACCAAGTCTAGTTGTGCACTGTCCGTCTGTCTGTCCGTCTGTCACAAACTTTGTCCCAACATGAAATTGGCCATCATGAGGCGGCACATGTGATTGCTGATCGCTCTTGTTATGCTTATAAAACTCATTTTGGTTGTCTTGACACCAAAATAAAATCTGGAGTCGATATGAAACCCAATTTATTAATGAAATGTCGCTATTTCTGTTTTTATGAAATTTATTTAATGTAGCTCTAACTGCTAACCTTATTATAATATGATGTGGTGGTATAAGGCGGTCATGTGTATCGATAAGAAAAAGTGTAATGAAGCATGCAGAAGATGCAGTTTAGGAATTAATGTGAAATACGTGTGTTTTTGTTTGTTTGTTTGTTTTATCTTTTGTTTATTTCGCGTATTGCGTACTATTCATTGTCTACTTGGAGCGCATGTTTGAACAAATGTAGTGGATGATATGTTTGACGTGATTCAAATTTATAATTATAATATATAAAACGTGTAGGATATACTAAGAATAACATCGAATGCTTTGTCATAGACCTTTAACAAACTGGCATGGGTGTTGCATGCCTAAAAGTTTTAACTTATGGTTGAATACCTATGTATACAAATTTATATGGAAATGATCTCATGCTTCCGGATGTAATTTTACAAGCACAATTCCGTCTGAACTTCAATTTATAACGACGGATACATTTATATCTAATCCTAGCTGATACACTTAGATTTGTCTAACAAGGGACACATCCTC